CAGATGGCCACACTAACTCGCTTGTGCTCATCATACCGTGTGGGATTCAGGAGCCACTGCATCCCTCCCTGCCTCTGAAATGCAGGCTGCCAGCGCGCATTGTAGGAGTCTTCTTGTGAATAACAGAGAAGTCAGGCACAAGTCGGCTGCCAGTTTGTGCAGCGTGTCTTCAGAGGGCCCAGGCAGGCGATGGGGGCATCCAACTGGACTCACTGGTGCCCCCAGAGAAGCAGCAGCCACAGCACAGCCGGGCACACACAGCGTCTCTTCTCTGATGGCTGCAAGGCCCCTCAACCAAGTGCCTGCCTCTGCCCCTAGTTCCAGCTGACCCGTCTGTCCCCCCACCAGCTCCAGCCTGCCCGTCTGCCCCCCAAGCTCCAGCTGGCCCATCTGTCCCCCCACCAGCTCCAGCCTGCCCGTCTGCCCCCCAAGCTCCAGCCGGCCTGTCTGCCCCCCAGCTCCAGCCTGCCTGCCTGCCCCCCAGCTCCAGCCTGCCCGTCTGCCTTCAGCTCGAGCCCGGTCTTGATTTCCATATATCCTTTTTTTTTTAAGCTTTACTCATTTTTTAAAAAAATTGAAAGACATACTTACAGAGGGAAGGAGAGACAGAGAAAAATCTTCCATCAGCTGATTTACTCCCCAAACGGCTGTAATGGCTAGAGCTGAGCTGATCTGAAGCCAGGAGCCAAGAGCTTCTTCCAGGTCTCCCACGCGGTGCAGAGTCCCAAGGCTTTGGGCTGTCCTCCACTGCTTTCCCAGATCACAAGCAGGGAGCTGGATGGGAAGTGGAGCAGCCGGGATACAAACCAGCTCCCATATGGGATCCCGGCATTTGCAAGCAAGGATTTAGTCACTAGGTTACCACGCTAGGCTACAAGCTAAGTCCTCCATACACCTTTCTCCTTACTGTTTGTGCTGGCCACTTCTCTTTGCTTCTCAGGTTCTTTATTTTTCTTTTCTATTTTTATGTTGATGAGGATGATGATGGTGATAAATGGAGAACACTTTGGGTCTATATGGCCTGGGTGAAGCTGTGTGGCCAAGGACCAGTTACTCAACATCTCTGTGCCCCAGTGTTGTACGGTGGCCGCAAGAACACAAACTCTGGACTTTCGACAGGTCAGCGAGGGAAGCAGCCAGAGGAGCGACCAGCAGAAACATCAGCAGGGGTCATGCTTGCCTGGAGCACAGACTGGAGACAGAGGCTCGACCTGCTAGCTGCAAGATGGGGCACTGGGGGCACAGAACTGCTGGCGGTGCACGAGTGAATGTGAGTCAGGCACCGAGGAGGAACCTCTCTTTGGGGCCAGGTGCAGTGGCACTGTAGGATAAACCTCCAGTTGTGACACAGGCATCTGTATGAGTCCTGGCTGCTCCACTTCTGATCCAGTTCCATGAGTATAGCCTGGGAAAGCAATGGAGGACGGCCTAGAACCTTGGGACCCTGCACCCTCGTGGGAGAGCCAGATAGAGTTCTAGGCTCCTGGCTTCAGCCTGGTCCAGCTCTGATCATTGTAACCACTTGGGGATATCTCTTTCTGTGTGTTTCTGATTTAAAAAAAAAAAAAAGTCTTTTAAAAAAGAGGGGGCAGTGCAGTAACCTAGCTGCTAAAGTTCTCACCTTGCACGCCCGGGATCCCATATGGGCACCGGTTCTAATCCCAGCAGCCCTGCTTTCTATCCAGCTCCCTGCTTGTGGTCTGGGAAAGCAGCAGAGGATGGCCCAGGACCTTAGGACCCTGCACCTGCATGGGAGACCTGAAAGAAGCTCCTGGCTCCTGACTTCGGATCGGCTCAGCTCTGGCCATTGTGGCTGCTTGGGGAGTTAATCACTGGATAGGAGATCTTCCTCTATGCCTGTCCTCTCTGTATATCAGACTTTCCCATTTAAAAAAAGAAAAGAAAAGAAAGAAAGAAACTGAGTTGGAAGGGTGTGTGGTGAGCCAATTGTCCCCATCAAGACAGTTGTCCAACCCCGGTGACACATTGTGCCATTCTGGCTCTCGTAAGCAGAGGTGAAATGTCAGAACTTCATCCACTGCATAGCGAGGGATGGGTCATAAACGTGGGCAGTGGTCATGCCCCCGAGGGCTCTGGTTTGGGCTGGGTCCTGGCTCACATCCCCCATGCCATCTGCTCATCTCCTTGTTGGCCACTGCTGCCCACGCTGGTCAGGTCCCAACCCTGTGATTTATAGGAAGTGAAGCTGTTTCACACCCTATCCGAGAGTAGCTGACCCATGGGGACACCTGCTGGGCCCCCTGTTGGGCCCCCTGAAGTGCCACCTGTCCCTGACAGCGCGTGCAGTGAGCCAGAGGCCTGTGCCATGCGTCTCCACCTGTGTGCCCGCATCCATTCTCCTCATTAGTTTGCCAGTCTTGCCGGATTGGTGGTGTGTTAGGTGGACGCTGGCTGTGGCTGAGCAACCTTAGTCAGAGATCCTTCTTGGTGATGTGCATGTGGGGGTGGGGAGGCGTTTGGGGGCAGCCTGCAAAGAAGGGTGCAAGTTATGTTCTCAGGTTCTTGTAAAAACACTTTTATTGATTAGAGAGTGGTGAGGCACCTGGGTGGTCCTCTGAGATGCTCTCACCTCTCCAGTGCCACGCCCTCCTGCATCCGGTCACCGGAAGGGTTAGGTGGCCAGCCACCACAGCAGCTCCTGCAGCCCATCCTGGGGCCACACACACCCATCTGCACTCATCTCACAGAAACCCTGCCAGGCTCTGGAATTCCCCCTGCTTTTCAGGTGGGTAAAAAAGAGGCAGGAAGGGCTGGCCAAAGATGTGGGACACTGGATGCTATGTCTCAGGGCTGCGGCCTGAATGCTGGCTCTCTGCTTTGATGAACACTGCTGGCCTGCCACACACCCAGCTCCAGCACAGCTGATCCGGCCAGGCCAGCCCCGCCCTCCCTCCTCCTCCTGAGCTGCCTGTCAGGGCTGCCGTGAGCACAGGACCGAATCTCTCCCCACCCCCCCGCCTTCCCACCCCATCTCTGACAAGCATGTGACACGCTTGGAGAGAAGCTGCACCCAGCATCCATTTACAGAAAGTTTTGTCTTAATTAAAAACTACAACATCAACACGCATAACAGAGAATAAAAAAGAAGTGCCAACAGGGCCTAGGCTGGTGATTAACCTCATAAAGGAGGGACTGAGGAGCCTTGCACTTCCCCACGCGCGCGCGCGCGCGCGCGCGCGCACACACACACACACACACACACACTCACAGAAGGCTCCCCAAGGCTCCTGGCAGGTAGCCCAAGATGTGGAGATTAGCCACGGCTTGCGTTAGCTCAGCAGGTATGTCTCCGGGGAAGAAGAGCCCAGGCTTCACCCAGATGGCTCAGGCATGCTGAATTATAACTGAGGTATAGCAGTTAACATTGTGAACACTGGGCTGGTGGGGTAGCTTAGCCTGCTAAACCTCAGCCTGCACTGCTAGCCGCACATATGGGTCTCGGTTCACATCCTGGCTGCTCCACTTTCCATCTAGCTCCCTGCTTGTGGCCTGGGAGAGCAGCGGAAGACAGCCCGAAACCTTGGGACCCTGCACCTGCATGAGAGACCAGGAAGAAGCGCCTGGATCCTGGCTGCGCATTGGTTCAGCTCTGGCCATCTGGGGAGTGAACCAGCAGACGGAAGATCTCTCTGTAGCTTTGTAGCAGTTAGTGCGCAGGCTGAGGGGCTCCTGGGTGGTGGTGTTCCCACGCTGCCGAGCTGGAGCTGAGCTGGCCCATGGCCACTCCAGCAGGTCTGTGTCCCTGCCCCAACTCTGCCACTCCACTTGGTAACTCTCAGAACTTAGTTCCTCCCTCATGCCATGACAGTAAGAGGGCACTTGGTCATGGCATTGAAGATGTGTGCTTGGAGACAATGTTGGAAATCCATGTGTAAAGAAAAGGAGGCTTCAAAAAATTCACGGAACTGTTATAAAAAGAAAAGATGTATGCATTATTATTTTTTTTGCATCAAAATGAGCTCTTTTTTTTTTCAGAATGTTTTGAAGTATTCTCCTAACGCCTGCTTCTTACGTTTCTGGTGGGATCTGGTGGGCTCATGTGGGGTGAAACAAGTCTGGCTTCGAGGGCCTAGGGGGTCTGCGTCCCCAGCACCTGCCACAGGGCTGGCACCCGCCCCCAACTCCCCGCTGCGGAGGTGACCCGGAAGTGTCCACTCCAAAGCACCTGCTCCCCCCCACACACACGCACCTGCCGCCACTGTATCAGTTCTTCCCACAGCAGCACACGAGGTTTCTGGAGCTTTTTATCTTTATTATTATTTTCCTCTCTAGTTGCGAAAAAAGCCACTGCGTATGTGCAAAGTTTCGGTCTCCGCCGCCGCCGGCCCCACCCCGTCCCATCCACGCAGTCACCCAGGGCGCCAGGAGCCCCCGCAGCGCCAGCTGCAGAATGCCACGACCAGACGACTTGTGGGGTGGTCCCCGGCGCCCTGCTCGCGGCCCCGAGGGGCGCCTGCCCTTCCCTGGCTGCTCCCGGCGGCCCTGACCCTCACCCCGCCCGCAGGCTGCGCTGGCAGCCCCCCGCCTCCCCCTGAGAGTGACGTGGCCAGCTCAGCGAGAAGAGCTTCCTTAGCTCAGGCTCGCGTTGCGCCTTCCCAGGGCTATGCGCGCCCCCAGAGCCTGGCCTCTGAGGACCCCCGCTGGCGGAGGGCCGGCAGGGCGGGACCCCGGAGGGCCAGCACAGCCAGGTCTCTGCAGGTGCCTCTGCGGCCCTCCCGCCCCCTCCTCCCTCAGCCAGCCAGGCCCCGCCTCTGTGTCCTGCCCTCCACCCCTGCTCCTCTTCCTCCTCCCGCCCCTCTTCTTCTCCTCCCCTTCCTGCCTCTCCTCCCTTCCTCTTCCTCCTCCTCCTCTTTCCCCTCTGCGTTTCGGGTTCCCTGTCCCTGCGTCTTGCCCCAGTCTTCCAGTCCCTCCTCGCGCTGCTCCTCCCTCTGCCCCCGGCCCCGGAGCCGCCTGGGGAAGGACGGGCCGGGCGGGCGGCGTCAGACGCTGTGCGCGCCCAGGCTGAGCACGGAGAAGGCGGCGCGGTGCTTGCGCAGCAGCAGGCGGATCTTCTCGTCGTCCGAGTCGGGGTCCAGCGGCTTGTTGTACTCGTCGTCCTCGTTCTCCGAGGCCGCGCGGTCCCCGCCTGCGCCCGCGCCGCCAGGGGCTCGGGGCGTGGAGGACGACGGCTCCAGGGCGCTCTTCTTGCGCCACTTGGTCCTCCGGTTCTGGAACCACACCTGGGTGCAAAGACAAGGGTCCCAGGCAGAGCACACGCACGCACAAGGTCATGCAGAGGCGCGCATGTGTACACAGACACTGCACACAGCACACATGCAGAACACACATGTGCACGCACAGGCAAAGCCAGGAGCACATTGGCAGAACATACGTAAGTACACAACCTAGGCACACACACTGCATGCATACAGGGCACACGCAGGCGCACATACAAACATCGCTGTACACAGCACACACAGGGCCCGGGATGGGATCTGACTCGCTGACAGTCCTTATTTAATTTACAGTAGCACAGATGGCTCCCGGCCGGGGTAGACTGCCTTACGGCTGGGCGCCTTTCCTGCACTCGGATGAGCCCAGCTCTGTGTAGTGTGCATGTTCCCCAGACCCTCGTGGACCGTGGTTCACTCTCCGCCCCACAACTAGAAAGAAGCCCATTGCCCCGGATAGCCGAGGAGGGCAGAAAAATACCCCCAGAAGCAGGGGAACACGCAGCAGGGGTCCACGCCACCTGCCCACAGTCCTGGGCTCCAGCTCCAGCAGGGCTAGGACGTGGCCACTGGGGAGGTTCATGGAAAACAGCTGAGCTACATGGCTGCAGGATGCTTTGAAATCCGAGCACAAGTTTCCCATGAACATTCGTGAAAGTTCCTATGAGGCTGATGTGGGAGGCTGTGGCAGTGGGCAGCCCACTGAAGACCCCTGGCTCTGATACTTCCTTCCTGTGAAGCCTCGCCACCCCACACAGCACCTAGCAGAGCTCGAGCTACCCAGCCACCCGACGAGGAGACACAAGTTCATCTCCTCCCTGAGTCAGTCCCCCTCCCCAAGTCTCCATGTTATAGAAACGACTGAACCAAGGCCAGCGCCCATTTGCTGCCCCAAGGTGGGCCAACCCTGTGTCCAGTTTGAGCTGGCTGCAATGGCTGCTCCCCCATAGCTGGGGGTTCCCGTGCAGCTTGCACAACAGGGCCCACTGGCTGACGGCCACATGCTGGGCATCATCAGTACTCAAGGTGGAGGGGGTAGTGCCCAGACCTCACCCACTCCCAGGACAGTGTCCACCTGAGGGTTTGGGCCCGTTATGGCATCTTGTAGGGCTCCTGTGGCCTGGTGGGCACCTCTCCCCACGCCACTCCTACCTGCCACACACACTCACCTTGACCTGTGACTCGGTCATTCCCAGTGAGTACGCCAGCCGGGCTCTCTCTGGACCAGCCAGGTACTTGGTCTGTTCAAAGGTCTTCTCCAGGGCAAAGATCTGGTGGCCCGTGAAGGTGGGTCGTGTGTGCTTCTTCTTGTGGATGCCGTCGTTCAGGGGGTCTGCGGCTGTGGGGCGGGGGCGGGAAGGGAGGTGAGAGAGGACGTGAGCAGGGGCGGGCATAGCAGGGGTCGGGGACCAGCCACACTTCCTGGCCTGCTTGGGTGCCGGTGGTCCTCCAGGTTACACTGGGGCAGCCTTCCTGACCCTCACATAGCAGTGACCGTAACCTGGGTGTCTAGCTGTGCGGTAGCCCCCCACCTTCTGGCTCCTGGTGGTGATGGTGAGGGGGGCAGCAGGGTCCTTAGCTCTGATGAGCCGCAGTTGAATGTTCTCCCTGCTCCCTGCGCCAGCTTGCCGGGGCACTGCAGCATGGCCCTCTCCTCTACTTGCCTTGCCGGGTCACCTTCTCTGTGCCCAGGGACATGGGACTCCACCTGCACTCCCTTGTTGCTGGACTCCCAACTTTTTAGGTCTACGGCAGGAGCTAAAGAGGGGACGAGCCCCTTCTAGTCCCCCTCACCAAACCACTAACTCCTCTTTCCGTGACTCCAGGCTGCCTTGCCAGAGGAGGGGGTAGAGCAGGGGGCAGGTTGTGTGTGTTTGTGGGGGTGTTTTGGGCATCGTGGCCCGTAGGGGGGCATTTAGCCTGGCTCAGTGCAGCTTCTGTCCCAGCTCCGGGCACTGCAGGCAAGAAACCTGGGGTTCAACAGCCTGCACCTGCTTGTTGTCCGCTGCCAGCCCCCAAGCTTTCTTATTCTCCTTGTGTGTGCATTCAGGAGCCAGGCAGGGGCTGCGGACGGAGTGTGTGGATTGAGAGGTGAGAGAGAGCTGGAGACTGAACATGACCCCTACCCCAAGACATGGCTTCATGTAGGTTGTAGCTTCCCAGATAGGATCTGCACCCCAGGGAGGCCCCCCCCGGGCATCAGCACGCTCCGGGGGAGGGTGCTAAGCTGGCCCCCCAAACCCTACTGTGTTGTGGATGGAGCCTGGGGCTGGGACACACACTCCCTTTGGTCCTGGCTGTGCCTGAACTCAGCTGGCCAGTCAGCCAGGGCCTGGGTATGAGTCCAGCAACGTAGGCTACTCTCCTGCCTCTGGGGTGAGCCCCGGCTACCTCTAGGCTTTTCCCGGTCCCATATTGGGATGGTGGTTGCTAGCCACTGTCAACAAAAACCCTAAGGGAGGAAGGTGGGACCCCTCTACCCCCAGCACACACACACTTCACACTCACAGCAGGGACCCCAAAGGGAAGGTGGCACAGTGGCTGGGTCTCTGCCATGGGGCAGTATTTGGGGGGCAGAAGTGTGGCTGCCAGCTGTGCCTGGCATGGGGTGTGTGTGGCCTTGGTGGCCTGGGAGGGTGGCTGGGGCATGCGTGTGTGGGGGTTAGTGACCAGACAGGTGAGCCAGCAGAAGAGTGAGCAATCCTGCACCTGGCTAGGTAGAGGTACCCGGAGCTCTGAGCTGGACCACGCTGTTAGTCCCCTTGCCCGGGCTGCCCATACCTCGAGCTGGGTGGTGGCCAAGAGGCCCACCGCCTGCCCTGCTGTACTCACCACTGCCGCATTGCCGCCCGCTGCGCCACTCCTGGGCCGTGTCCGCCCAGCAGTTCCGGGTCCGGGTGGGGTAGTCGCCGCCGCCGCCACCGACAGTCTTGGAGAAGTTTCCCACCTGGGGGCTGTAGTAGACCCCCTGGGAGCCGAGGCCCCCAAAGCCTGCCACATGGGGGTAGCTGGAGAGGAGGCCGCTGCCGTTGGGTGCGGCCACGGGCCTGCTCAGGATGTCCGTGATCCCGTGGGGGGTCCCGGCGGACAGGTGGGGGCCCAGCGCTGGCGGGCTGAGCTTGTAGAAGGAATTCTGCACCGAGTACTGGCACACGGGGGCCTTGACCTCCGAGAACTGAGCCAGTGGCGTGTTGTTGAGCAGGAACGGCCCCTGCAGGTTGGACTCCATGGTATCCAGCTTGAGGTGGGGACGCACAGTGGGTAGGCCAGAGTCCCCCAGTTCGGGGACCCTAAAGCCCGTGACCCCACGCTCCAGTCTCCGAGCTCATGGTAGGTTTAGAGACTCAGAACCTGCCCCGGGTCCTCACTTTGGCCCTCCCACCTGCAGCATCCGGGCCCAGCCCTGGGCACCTACGTCCGCCGCCACTCGGAAGTCAGGTGCTCCCAAGGGTGGGGGTGAGGGGTGCTTCTTGCAGCCCGCCTTGCCCCTCGGCCTCAGCTGAGACTCCTGCAGGTCTGGGGACCCTCCATGAGAAGTTGGAAGTTCAGAGGAGGAACATTTCCCTGATAAAGCTCCAGCCTATTAGAATACAGCCCTGGGACTGGCTGAGGCGAGGGAGACCGGTTGCCATTGGCTGGTGCATGCGCGCGTGTACACACACACACACACACACACACACACACACACACACTCACACACTCACACGGGCCTAGCATTGACTTCTCCTAGACAAATTACACTTTGAAAGATTGACTGTAAGATCAGCCCGTGTTTGTCTGAGAGAGAGAGAGGCCAGAAGCTCCGTTCATCCTCCGAGGGGCCACCTGCTCCCCCACAATCCGAAGGATGCGGAGGGGGTGTCTGTGGGAGGTCTCTGTAAGTCACAACTCCTGCTGCTGTGGCTGCTGCACGCCCCCCCCCCCCCCCCGCCCCTTGACGGACCGACAGGGGTCCAAGGCCGGAGGTCACTGCCCTGAGCAGAGGGCCGAGCACAGGAGGACACAGCCGCCTGCAGAGCTCAGGGTAAGCCGGAATGCTGGCTGGGCGCACCTGCCGTCCATCCCAAACTTGGACACCTCTGAGTGGCTGGTGCTGGGTGGCCAGTGGGGCAGGGCCGAGGGTGGCCGCTGGCTAACCTTTTTCCTGCTCACCAAGGCCACCCAGGAGCTGTTGTGGCTGTCTCCTGGGGGTAGCAGCTGGTCTGCCTTGGTGGGCGGGTTTGCAGTCCTGGCAGGGAGAGGTGGGGTCAGTGTACCCTCCCCTCCTTCCACTTAACGGGAGGGGAAGGGGGTGACTCAAAAATTTTATGGCCTAAGGAATGAAAAGATTGATTTGGAATGCATGCACCACCAGGGGTCTTAGGTTCATGGGAAATGCGTATTCTGCAAACACCTTGCGTGCATGCATGCGCTGCCAAGTTTCTGTTGTTCCCGGCATCCCCACAAGCTCACCCTTCCACTGGGGCGTCCACCAGCCAGCTGTCTGATGCCTAGACACTCAACACACTTTCCTGTTTTCTCTTTTGATGACTCCCGCACCCCAACAGCCACTCTGTAGGAGGAACGCCTCCTTTTAACAAGGAGGAGGGCCCGGCACAGTGACCCATTAGCTAATCATCCTTCAAGCACCCTGGGCGCTGGTTTGTGTTCTGGCCGCTCCACCTCCCATGCATTTCCCTTCTCGCTTTCTCTCTGTAAATTCATCTTTCCAATACAAATAAATAAGTTTAAGAAACAAACAGGGAGGAGCAATGGAGTCCCTGTGAGCCCTGTGCTCCGTGGCCTACACGGGTAGGTGAAGCCTCGTGGGAAGCTGCATACATGCTGTTTCTGCAGGTTTGAAATCACATAGGGAACACAGCTCCTGTCCCCCAGGGAGAGAGGGTAGGCCCCTGGGAGGTGGCACCACCTCTCCTGCACTTGCCACTAACTCCAGGCAGATGCAGGCTGAAAGGCAGCAGGTGCTGGCCCACGCACCTGGCCTCTGCCCCTCACGGAGCCCATGGTTCCAGGTTTCAGCCTGGCCCAGCCTGGCTGGCTGGGATGGGCATTTGTGGGAGCAAACCAGTGGACAGAGTTTTCTGCTTTTCAAAAAAAAAAAAAAAAAATCTTTGAAAACAAAACCAAAGACAAGGGCTAGGCATGGCTGGGAATAAGGTGGTTTTCCTGCTGGAGCAAGGCAAGCTCTTGGGGTCTGAATAGTATTGAGAAACTAAGGACTCACAGCGGGTCCAACGGCAGCCAAGTGCCCTGGGGTCGTGGTGTGGCACCACCATCCCTTAGACCCCCCCCTCCCCAAGGGGTTTCTCCCTGATGGGTGATCCAAATCCGCGGACCCCGGGGGGGGGATCTTCACTGCAAGACAGAGCTGTCACACGCCGCTCCTACCCTCCCCCTCCCCAACCCCCAAAGACGTAGCCAGGAAGAGGCGCGGGAGCCCTGTGCCATGGGTCCATTTCTTTATTAATTTTGACATTTGTTCAGCTGGTGTAGGGAAAATGGTGTTTACATCATCATAATGGGGTGAGGGGTGGGAGTGGAGGCGACCCCCTCCCAGTAACTGCAGGTGGGAGGCGAGTCAAGACATGAATTCGGTTTTTTTTTTCATAACAATTAAAAAAAAAAAAAACCTCAAGGTTAATTTCCAAACTTCTAAAAAGCGTCTAATGCGCAGACTGTGCAGCATTCTCTAGGCGTGGGTGTGGGGGACCCCACCTCCCCGAGCTGAGCTGGCGCCCAGCAGCTCCTACTGGCACGGGGAAACGCGCGGCCAAGTAGCCATGCCGGGCGGGGCGCACGCAGGGTGCCAAAGCGCAGCGGAGCCGGGCCCGCGCGGGGGGCGACCGGGGAGGGAGAGCGAGGGCCAGGCGGGGGGTCGCGGCGGCCTCACCCGGTCAGCCTCGACCCCGCGCCGCCCGGCCCGGCCCGGATGCGGCGCGGCGCGGGCCCTCGCCAACCGCGGGCGCGTCTGTGCTACTAGGAAGGGTCCGGCCAGCGGCGGCTCTGCGGAGCGGCGGTCAGGGCCCCTGGAGTTTGTGCTGATTCGGGCTTCCCTCCGCCGGAGGCGCGCCCCGCTGTGTGAGTGTGGCTTAAGGCTCTGCCCTGGCTGAACCGAGGCGCGGGCAAAGGGGTGCTTGGCAGGGGTGGGGAACAGCCGCGCCGCCCCTCGCCTCCCTGCCCTGCCCCGGCGCCCCGGCCCTGCCCCGCTCCGCCCCAGCCTGCGGGCTGCCCGGGGTGCGAGCACCAAGTGGGCTCTGGGAGAGCTTGGGGTGGTCCTGACGCTCGCGCAAACCCCTCCTCGCTTCCCTGACGGCTCCTCCCGCAGCCCGCGCGAGCCCTGGGCAGCCCGGCTGGCTGGGGCTGTGTGTGCACATACCGCTAAAGTGTTGCTATTGGTTTGCATAGTATTTATTGTTTTTGTTTCGTTTTTTTTTTGTTTTTTTTTTTTTGTTTTTTTTCCTCATATACACAAAGCTGATTGACTGTACAGTTTTACACTTTTATGGACAAGGACTATTATATGAGATTTAAGTGCTGGAAGATATTAGAAAAAAAAAAAACCCACCTCTTCTGTATGGAACATGCTGGTGCGATCCGCTCCGTCTCCTGGGGCGGCTGCCAGCCCTTCCCCAGCTCGGAGAGAGAGAAGCCCCCAAACTGGGCCCTGACGCAGAGCCTGCTGTGTGTGTGCGTGCGTGTGTGTGTGTGCGTGTGTGTGTAGGGAGCGTGTGGGAGGTCCCTGCCTCTAAGGGACCCTGAATGCACCCCTAAAGGCAATGATTTTCCTTTGGAAATTGATCAATATTGAAACTTGCAGAAACAAGAAGAAAAAAAAAATGCCAGTGGCTCCACAGTAACACTGTGTGTGTATGAGTGGGTGCAAGGAGGCCATGGTGTGTGTGTGTGGTGTGCATGTGTTGAATCCGTGCCCCTCCGTGTCCGCCCACCGGAGGTGAGGAGACGTCCTAACGCAATGGAGGTGTCTGAGGGTGGTGGGAGAAGGGACAGGGCCAACTACTGAATGCGGGCCTCTTGGCTCCCTTCTTGCCCACCACACACACTTCTTCCAGGAAGCCAACATGGACTCCTTCAGGATGAAAAGTCGAAGAATAAACACAAAGTTACCCTGTACTCAGTCAAAACGAAAACACTCCAAAGCTATCCCCAGCTGCCCAAGAGCCCTTGTTCACATGTGCTGTGCCTGCCTGCCCACGCGCGCGTGCACCCCCGCCCCCTCCACCAGCCTGGTTGCCCTGGTCCTTGTCGTGGGGCTGTGGGGCACAGGTGTCCTGGCCAGTTGGCCACACCCACGGAGGAGGCTTAAAGGAAGTCCTTTACTGCAGATGATGGCGCCGGCCTGTAGGGGGCAGCCGAGTCGCCCCGTGGTCTAGAGCCCTCCCCAGGGTCGGCTCTCCTCCTGTGTGCATGGCAGGGTATGTGGAGTTCAGGGATTGGGCGTCGAGGTGAGGTCCTAAAGGACAGAGAGAGAGGAGGGGTCACCTATGAGGTCAAGGCTGAGGACGAGACCTCCACTGTGCAGCAAGGATGGGAGGCAAGGCTGCTCAGGCAGGTGGGTGCAAACTGGCCCTGACCTGCATGCCCACTCCCCCCTCCAAACATACAGTCTCCACCGCCCTGCTAGCCTGGGGCCCTGCTGGTCCTTCCCATTCCTCAGTGCAGCCAACAGGCATGCGCTATGCCAGCCCCGGCCGCCCTCGGGCTCCAGGCCCCTCTTCCTCTCTGCCAGCTGCCTCAGGTGTAGCCAGCCAACAGGTGCCTTCACCCTAGGGTGTTTCTGATCTCCACCCCACTACCCCCCACCGCCCACAGCACTCAGTCCTGCAGCTGGGCCACTCTCCCCAAGCTGGCCTTCAGGGACCCCATGGCCCACCTGCTAATGGGGAATCCTTGCGTGAGGACGCTGACAGGCAGTTGGGTGAGGGTGCTGTTAGGGTTGGAATTGGCTTGGCGTCCCTGCCAAGGCCTGTCTCCCCAGGGATGTACCTTAAGGGTTCAGGTTGGGACTTGCTCACCTCCTGGTATCTGAAGGCAAGGCTGGGGGAGGTGACAGACCTGGAAGGGGCCCTTGTGGGTGGCTCCCTGGGAGAGGAGCAGCTGACTCCCCACAGAGAGGGCAGATGGTGGGTGGGCCTCCAGGACACATGGCTTGCCTTGCCACGGGATCAGGCCTCCACCATGCACCTGAGCGGCCACCAGCCTGACTGTGGATGCCCCTGAACTGAGGGATCAAGGTAAATTTTCCCTAAGGAACTCCCAGTTTTGTTTTGTTTTTATTTTTTGGTGGGAGGTGTGTAGGTGTTTCAGTTCAGGCAGGCGGAAGTGACGTAGGAAGAGGGCTTTACGGGCACAGAGCCCGCTCAGGCCTGACCAGTGACTGGACAGGCATGCTGCCGGGCAGCTTGGGGTAGCTGCCATGGTTCCTCCATGCTGTCTGCCTGTGGTCCCCGTGGGTCCCAATCTCCTCCCGCTCATCCTGCCGGCAGGAAGGACTTCCTGTTGCCCTCCAGCCTCCCTGCCCGGCACTACCTTGGGTACAGCACTGCCACGTCTGCCCTACCTGGTCTGGGCCAGGCCCCCGCCCTGCTCTGCGCTGTGAGGTTCCTGGGTTTTTCGGGGGTGAACTAGTGAGTGGGAATTCTGTCTTTCAAATAAACAGCTGACTGACTCAAGCAGGTCACTCCCGCTGGTCGTGGGAGCTAGAGGCCCTGGGATCCCGGTACACGGTGTTGGCCCTCTGCAATCAGTACAGCCGGGTCTTGCTCACTTGTGTCCCATCAGGTCACAGCCAGCACTGACCTGGGGAGCCCTGGGCGCTGTGCCAGAGCCCCTTGCGCCTGTGCACACGTGTCTCGTGGTCTGCACATGTGGTTCCAACCTCCCGTGTCCCCTGTGTCTGACACGCGGGTCACACAGCCTCTTAGACTGAGAACCTGAGGCTTTGGCACCACCTTGGTAGGGGAGAGGGCTGCAGTTGGAGATGACATCACCCACATAAAGCAGGAAGCAGTGAAATGGCACATTCCCGGGCCACTAGAAAAACGGAGGGACACGGGTCTGGTGCATGGGAGCTGCCGCGATGAGGAGGCGGGGTGTCACCTGGCTCTGCCTCAGGGGCTCGTGCTGTGTGTGGTGTGTGGCGGGTGCTGCGCTTGGGGCAGCAAGGGAGCCTGTGAGCAGCTGGGGGACCCACAGCCCCCTCCCTCATCTTCTCTGTAGAAACGGAGGAGGATAGAGACCCTGCTTGCCTGCATCCCACACCCTGGCCTTGCCTGGGCACAGGACCCAGCACCCTCGGATGGCTCACACGCTCGGGGGGTGGGGGCTCAGCCATCACTGGCTCCCTTCTTTGGCCTTGCTTCTGTTGTGGTAAGAGGCAGCAACAGGAGTGGAGCAAGATGGAGGCTCCAGTCGAAAGCCACTGCTACTGCTACCCTGGGACAAATCAGGTGCGGGAAGCGCCCTCTTCTGCCTTCACACCCAGCTAACATTCTCAGCATTTGTGGGTTATTTTCCTGGTGCCTGTGCCAGCCGATGCCCATCCTCCAAGCCAGTTGCATATGTGTTTGTGTGTGTGTGTGCAGGTAGGAAGGGTCCCCTGGCAGCGTTGGGGTTAACACAGTGGCCTCCTTAAGCTGCTGAGCCTTCAGGTCTAATTTTAACCTCGGAAGGGGGTGCTGGGATATGTTGGGAAGGCCACAGTCAGCATTTCTGGGAGCCCAGGAGGCAGGTGGCAGCAGGCCTCGTTTGCCAATCCCTGGTGGTTATGGTGGGGGCGGGGAGGCGGGTGGCTGAACCTGGGATGGGGCTGGAGCCTGCCACGGCACCTCCTTGCTGCCCGTTCACTCCCACCCCGATGCATCCTGTACTGAGCTGCCCCGAGCTGGGCACAAGCAGGGACCTCAGGGCAGCTCAGTACAGGATCCCTCAGGGAGGATGGCCTTCCAAGCTGGGAGCTGGTTGGGAAACCCACACCCTGTGCACGCTTACATACACCATGCACCCTGGCCCCAACGCTTTCCCCCTTACATGCAGAGACAGCCACCAACTCCAAGGAGGACCTGTCCACAGAGGCCTCTTTGGGGAGTACAAGTGACCCAGGGGCACCGGGCTGCCAGCTCACAGCCTCCCCCATCCCTGTAGGCTCACCCACAGGCCCAGCATGCTCTCCCACAGGGCCTTGCCCCAGGCAATGCTCTGTCTGTTCTGGCTAATACTAAACTAGGCCACCCTGGGGTGGCACCTGCCTTGGATCCTGAGACCCCAGGACCTGCGGGTCTCTCCTGTGGCATGCAGGGAAGTGGCTGTCCGGACGGGGCAGCGTGCAGCCAGGCCATGCAGCGAAGGACAGAGTCTGTTACCTCCCACAGAGCCGCTCCGGGCCCGGAAGGCCGGCTTCACTGCTTGCCCCTTTTCAGGCTGGCCCGCTTCACTATCTGAGCCCCCTTCCTGCCCTCTGCCAGGTCCGGCTGCAGGCCGCTCCCTCTCAGCTCCACCTGGGCACGGCAGCGGGGACAGAGAGCAGCCCATCACCTGGATGAGCAGGCATAAAGAGGAGGTGTATGGAAGGAGAGGTGGGGCGCAGGGGCCGCCTCCGTACCTTGGAGAGCTTTGTTAGGTAATCCACGTCAGCTTCTAGCTCACTGGAGCCTTCTAGGGGCCCCCCAATGATCACCTCCTCATGCTCCTGGGGATCCCCAGTCACGGACGAGTCTATCTGCCGAACGACTTTGCGGATGGTCTGGAAGAGGGAGCAAAAGAGAGAGAGAGAGACAGAGAGAGGGAGAGAGATAGGGCCGGTCCAACGGTCAGTACAAAGTCCCCAAGAGTGAGACGGAGGGGCTTGGTCTTTCCAGTCTGCCCTGGACCACTGATGGGGAATCTGTCTGGGGGACCACAGTGCCATGTCTGTGGCACAGGAGGTGGAGAGCCATCTGCCACGTCCCCACAGGGCACTCCTGGCTTTGAGGCCTTGCCCGCTTGCCAGGCCCTGGTGCCTGGGCGCTCTTTGCACTCACCTTCTTGGTGACAATGTTGCCCTGTGCGTCGGTGAATTGTTCCTCTGTCACCTGCTCCCCTGGAATACCCTGGAGCTCGTGTCCCTGCAGTCAGACAAAGGGACACCCATCACAGTGGCCAAGTGGGAGCCTGAGACAGCAGCCAGGGAGGAAACAACACAGCTGCAGTCCAACACCCTACACCCCCCATTTCAAGAAGGAAAGTGCTGCTCGAGCCAGTCGCTGGTTGTCGCTGGAGACAGACTGTGACATGGGCCTGGCCCCAGGTGAGGCATTACACCAGTCTGATGAAAGAGGTCCCTGTTTCAAGTTTCTGTAGAGTCCGATGTCACAGACAGGGCTGCATGGAGCACGACATGCCTGCCATGGGGACCCTAAGGCTGCTGGGTGGTGGTGCAATTCCAGCCCTGCCTGTACACAGGTCTGCCCTAGCCTCCCCAGGCCCAGCAAGGGGCAGGCAGGCGTGTCGAGGCAGCGCCCCTCTGTCCCCCACCCCCTATAACTGGGAGGTTACCTTCAGGAAGAGCCGGCGGCGGACTACCCTGCTGGAGACGGTCTCCTCATCGTCGCCACCGTGGCCCTCGCCCTCCCCCAGCTCCCGGTCCAGCTCCTGGTGGATGTGCTTCAGCACGAAGCACAGGGAACCCTTGACAATGTGCATGACGTTCTGACAGCTGACCAGGAAGAAGCCCAGCAGCACCAGGGTGACCAGCAGCTGGGTGACGAAGGTCCACATCCTTGCTGCACGGGCCCGCCCCTCATGGGCTGCCGGGACCCTCGCTGAGCCCTTCCATTCTCCTGACACCCCACCCCCGCCTCTCTCAACCTGCCAGGCAAGAGACCCAGCGGGCCCTGTCTGGAGTGGCCCTTGAGGGGAGAACAGCCGGCCCTCCTCCCCAGCTGCCCTCAGTGACGTCAGGCTGCTGTAATTTTAGCTCCCAACCAGCTGCCGGGGCTGTGCAGCTGGCGTGGACGGAGGCTGGCAGGTGCGGTGTCCCCAGCACCCAAGGCAAGCAAGTGTCAATGTCACTTCCCGTCCCCTGGCTTGCCTGGCCCTGCAAGAAGCTACCCAGGCAAGACCTCCCTCAGTGGCCCCTGTCATGTGGCTGTCTGGGATCGTATGGAAGGAGGGAGCAGAAGGGTGCAGCCCACTCCTTGCACGCTTCAGGCTTTGTCTCAAAGACGAAACGTGCTGAGCTTGGCCAGGGTGTGGCTGGCCCATCCTGCAGTGGGTCCATATCTGTGTCTCTGGACTGAAGAGAACAGATGGACACTGCTCCTGCTGCCCCATTGGCTTTCCGTGGCCATTTCCCATCACTACCTGCTGAGCAGGTGCCTCAAGGCACTTTAGGTAACCTGCTACCATGAAATGGAAAGTAGTGCTGCAAACTCCCACTCCTTTACCTCCTACACCAGGGAAAGAAGCTGCACCCCCACCCCCAGCACGGGGGAAGAGGCTGGTCCTGGGAGACCCCCAGCCAGTGCCTCACCACCTCCAAGGCATCTTGCCCTGGGCCTGGTACACCCTGACCAGAACGAGCCCAGAGACCCAAACTCCCCCAGCTGTGACCCGCATTTCCTGGGTGACCTCTCTGGACCCCCAGTTCTCTGGGCCTGGCCCATGTGACCTGGAGGGGTCACATCTCAGCCTTTGTCGGTTCCCACCCCTGTGCCGCTCTGGGACAAGGTCCGGGGCTTTGGGAACAGAGGCAGAGCACATGTGGGGGTGGGTGCGGCCACGGCTGCTGTCCTATTGGGTGTACAGACTTGGCAGGGGCTGCATTCTAAATAAACCCCATCCAGCTCCCGCCAGGCCACGGTGGAGCTGGCCGGGCACAGGGAAGATGAGTGACAGGGAGGCGGGGAAGGGGAGTAAGAGAGAAACAGAGGAGATGTGGAAAAGTGACCACTCAGTGGGAAGTGAAGGAAATCCCAGACACACAAACCCACTGCTGGGGCCAGGGCAGGAACCTAGCCACTCCCTCATTTGCCAGAGAGAGAACCCACCCCTAAGGGACCTGCAAAGCCCTGGGCAGAAGGAACCTGGGGCCAAACCAGTCAGTCAGCCGCAGCCTGTAGGTGCAAGGACTTAAGTGACAGCCAGGGCTGATGCTGACCCCATCCCCCAGCATGGGGCCAGGGGGCAGACCTGCAGACCCTGCCCCTGGACAGGAAGTCGTTACAACCACACCCTTTTAGATGGGAAACCGTTCCTTGCTCGGCTCTCACCTGCAGTTCCTGGGAGAAGGTGTGCTTGGCCTGTTGCATCCGCTGGCTGTAGGCCAGGGCCTCGCCGGTGGACGCCTTCAGGACATCATCTTGTGAGTGCAGGCTGGGCGTCAGCTCCTGCAGCCAGGAGCTCTGTGCAGCTCCATGTACGTGGGAGCCCATGGAGCCTGCCCTGTCCCAGTCTTGCAGTCTGGGGTCCAGGAGAGGTGGCCGAAGATCAGAGAGAGAACAAGGACACCTGGTCATTGCTGCTGGCCTCACCCACTGCTGAAATCACCCCTTCCTGTCCCATGGTGGCCCACGTGGCTCGCCCTCTCCTGCTGTCCAGGGGACTGGTCCCCTCCCTTTGGGTCAAGTACTAACAGTGATTTCATCAGGGTCTCCACCCCATCAGCTCACTTTGCACTCTGGGTCATCTCACAAGGCTTCCTCCTCATCAAAGTACACGGGGCTGGCATGTTGTGACCTAATGAGTCAAGCTGCTACCTGCAGCTCTGGCATCCCATATGGGTACAAGTGTGTTTCTCTGCTGTTCCATTTCTGATGCAGCTGCCTCCCTGCTAATGGCCCGGGAAAGCAGCAAAGGATGACCCAAGTGCTCGGACCCCTGCACCCACATGGGAGACCTGGATGAAGCTCGTTGCTTCAGCTGGCTCAGCCGTGGGGAGTGAAGCAACTTTTGGGCATCACCCTGCCCTCTCTGCCCACCCTTCCTCTGTGCCCTCCGTGAGTTCCTCTGGTGGGCCTGCCTTCTGAATGGCCTCAGTCCGTGACCTGGGTGGGCTCTTTCCACTCCCGCCCACGTGCCTGGCTCTGTCTCCAGCTCTAGAGTGACTGAACTGCATGCGGATGTTCGGGCAACAGCATGGGGCCTCCAATAGGCATGCTGCCCTCACACTCAGCTGTCCACATCTGGTGCCAGTCGGCTGCCACAGCTGCAGGCGGGCAGCAGAGCTGGGGGAGTGCGCGTGCCTGTGCCTGCCTGGGTCCCTTTTTCTCCACTCCACACTGCATTTAGCAGCAAGGCCTCCTGGTACTCCTCTTCAAGACACATCCTGGCCCCAAACTTTGTCACCTCTTGAGTCCTCTGCCTGCTTCTACTCTTTGCCATGTCAGGTCCCCTTTCTCATGGATGCCAGGGCTCCTAGGAACGCCCTTCCACCCCCCTGAGGTGGCTCTCCACCCACCCACCAAGTGCTATGGGCAGCCAAGCCCTCTCGGTCCTGCCTCCAACCTCCCAACCTTGTTCTCTTGTCCATCAGCCAGTCCTCGGCTGCTATGCACTTGACCCTGTCTTGCCCTGCTGCTCCCTCCAGCAAGCACCCGCCTCCCCCACTTTCTCTGTCTTCCCAGCATTCATCATTATCTGGTGTTTCTATTTGAGTAGCTTCTAATTGTGGCTATTCTATCCCACCCTCCTGGTTCCTTTAGCTCAAGGCTGTGCGCCCAGGCCCCAGGCAGCCTGGCTGGGGGCAGGTGCATCCAGGACCCGGTGGAGAGTCAGTGAATTCTGTGTCCCCTCCCTTCTCTCCCATCACTGCCATTGGAATGCAGGCCAGGATCATGGAGCCAGGAAGTGCCACAGCCAGGCCAGAACCCTAAAGAGCCCTGCTGTTGGGCTGTGCTGTGGCACCAGCTGGCAGAGGCACTGGGTCCCTGTCAGCCAGGCACTGGCCATCGCAGGCTGCTGTAGGGGGCGCTCCAGCACAGGTTCAGTCTGGTTCCCTGTTAAGCAAAGGGCAGCCTTGGGAAGCAAACTGACCTCCTTGCTGTCTCAGCTTGGGCAGTGAGCTGGCCAGAACCATGGGGGAGGAGGTGGGCGTGGCGCCCTGGACAGCCACAGCCAGGGCAGCAGGTGAACTTCCCGTTGACTTCTAGGTACAGCCTAGGGCCTCTGCTTCCTGCCCCTCTGCACCCTAGGGACTTGTCCCACTCTGCACTGAGAGCTGCCTGGCCCCTGCCTGCTCTGCATCTCAGGCAGATGTGGGGCACAGGAACAGTCCTGTTTATTAGCAGCTGGAGGCTCTGGGTCGAGTCTCTGAGGGTTCTGCTGCCAGGTCTCACTCCCCCAGCTCGCATCTGCTTCTGACTGCCATGTTCATGGCCAGGCAGCGCCTCAAGGCCAACTCCCCAGCCTAAAGTTCTCTCTCCGTCTCTCCCTATCCTAGCTCTTCTGTGGGGCAGCTTCCAAGGGAGCCCGGGTGCTTGGTGGTGGGCATCTAAAACACTCAATTGAGGTGGGGCATCGCCTGCACACACCTTCCTTGCACGGGAATCCCTTACCTGTCCCGGCCGCTCTCCAGTACCTGCCGCCCGGAGGGTAAGTCTGAGGTGTGGCCTTGCACCCTCCTCTGCTGGCCTGCAACAAGAGACACTTGACTTTCCGAGTCCCGCCCTGCACCTGCCGGGTCCTCATCCTGCCTCGGAGGACCTGGCGGCTTCTCTTCTGATCTCTGACCTTCCTCCTGGTCAAGCAAATCGATAAGGCCATTGGTGGCATCTGAATCCACCGTGTCGTCCTCTGCGAGGTCCAGGGAACCCAGCTCCGGGCCCCGCGGCTCCTCCGAGAGCGCCCCCTCCAGCCGCCACTCGTGGCCCGTGGCGTCCGAGTCCTCGGCCTTGCTGTACTCCAGGGAGGAGTCCTCAGCAGTGACCAGGGAGGGCGTGAGGTCTGCGGACCACAGCTGCATGTCAGACATCTCCAGCATGGCGTCATGCTCCGTGGCCGCCAGGGGGATGGCGTCTGGGACGGCCACTTCGTTCCAGTACTGGTCTGCACGCAGCGGAGAGGGAAGGGCGTAGTGCAGGGAGGCAGGGGACAGCAGCTCGTCCTGCAGCGAGGAGTAACCTGCGTGGACAGACACAGGGCGACATGCTCCAGCAGCGGTTGTGGTCACGCAGGTGCACGCACACACACACAGGCACAGGCACGGAGGAGGCATGCACATTCGGGCTGGGCACAGAGCACTTTCCAAGCTCAAGGTCAGGCGCTCAGGCCTTGTGGCTACTGCCTGGGGCAGGGTAGGGGGTTGGAGGAGCACCCAGGCAGGAGAAACGAGGCTCTGAGTGGGGGGGAGGGGATGAGGGGGCGCAGCCAGTGGGTGGGGCGGAGCAGAGGAGGGTCCCTTTGCCGGGTGGCAAGGACAAGAGGCTGAGACGGGGGTTTGCTCTCGACCACCTGTGCTGGGAGGACAGTAGCAGCTCTCCACGGCTTGGCAGAAATGAATGCCCACTCTTGCTTTGCTCACAACTCCACTTTGGCTCAATCCCCAATAGGACCTGCTGGGGATGCCCCTCACAGGGAAGGAAATGGGCCATCCCAGTCCTGGGCTGCTCTTGGGGGTCTTGCCCCTACTCTCCTGGGTATCCTGGATAATTGCAGACCCCCAGTGCAGTGGTCAAGTGGGAAACAGGCTTCTGGTTTACCATGAACTTTTACTCAAGTTTGATGCTGTTTCTGGAAACCCTGCTTGATCTATGGCGACCCAGGTCAAGGTGCTACAGGTTCAAAGATTCAGGCAAAGGCAGACGGACTCATCCCAGCCCTGGTCAGCACCTGCTTCTTGCTTCCCAGCTAGGTGAGCCGTCCCTGGTGGGGGCTCTGCAATGGCCTCCCTCTTGTCCAGAGGCCACCAGGAGGTTACTTGTGTGTGCATGGATGCTTGTGTTCCAAAGAGGCTCTCTAGCCCCACGCCAGCCAGCAGTCTGTGTATATTGGGGGCGTGGTGGTCCCTGCTACAGGGGAAAGCAGGCTTCTGATCTATCTTCCAAGCAGGTGCCGACCAGTGGGTGGAAGGGACAAGAAGGCTAGATTTTCCTCTGGGTTGTGCTGGTGTGGGACCACGTCAGCAGAATGAGGGAGGCATGGGCGGAGACTGGCCTGGTAGAGTGTTGAGGGACTGCCCAAATGCCACCTTCCTCCTGCTGTCACCTCTCACCTCTAGGGATTTCTGGACTAAGCCTCAGTTCCAGGTGGGGCCTTCCTGCCCCCACCACGGCCTCTCCCCTTTGACCCACACTGTCCCCATAATGCCTCATCGCTAACTCACTCCCCCACCCAGTGCTGAGTACTGACGACACACCAGATATGGTGCAGATGGCTGGCAGGGGTCCCCAGCATGGAAATGCACACTTGGTTGTCCTGGCCTGCCTTGTGCGGTATATTTCAAGGACTTGGGCTGCCTCGATTGCACACCTTGCTCCCTTGTTTGAGCCTATCCCTCGCCCCTCGCCGAGGACAAGGATGATGTCCATCTCTTCCTATGACCCGACATGCCCAGGATGTGAAGGACTTGGCAGCCAGACATTTCCTGAATGTGCCAATGCCAGCCCCTGCCTGGGGGGCCAAAAACTGTGCCATGTTTTCTTGCTTGTAGCATCTTCTTCCTGCCTGACATCCACAAGCCTAGGGGGCTCTAGGTCCAGAATAAGGGGAGGGACATATTTCTGGTGCAGGGGGCAAGATGTCATGGAGAGGAGTCAGGCCTGGGCTGTTGAGCTGTTGAGGCCAGCTTCCTGCTGCTGGGCATCCTCAGAGGTGGCAGGCGATGACTCATGAGCTAAGTCCCTGCCAGCCATGAGGCCTGCAGGGAGTTCTGGGCTTCTGACATTGGCCTGGCCCAGTCCCGGCTGATGGAGCATTTGGGGGGCAAACCAGCAGATGGTATACCTTTGTCTGCTTCTTTCTTTGTTTCTCCATTGTTCAAATAAGTAAAATAAATACTTAAAATTGAGGACAGGAGGAAGAGCCCATGACATGGCGTATCAATCTGTTCTTTTGTGGATTATGCTTTTGGTGTTGCATTTTAAAAAATCTTTGCTTGATTCAAAAAACCTAATTTTCTCCCTAGTTTTTAGAAGATATATTTATTTATCTGAAAGGTAGGATGAGAGAGAGAGACCATATCCCATCCATCTATTGGTTCATCCTCCAAATGATCATAGCAATCAGGGCTGGGCCAGGCTGAAGCCAGGAGCTGAAACGCCACCTAGGTGGCCCACATGGGTGGCAGGGACCCTATGTACCCGGGCCATCGTCTGCTGCCTCTCAGATGTCATATCCAAAGCGCAGCAGCTGGGACTTGAGCCAGTGTCCTGACAGAGGATATGGTGTACTGCAGCCTGACCCACTGGATCACAACGCTGGATCCTAAAGGTTTTTTCTTTTTCAGTGTTATCTTCTGGAAGCTTTGTTGTTTTAGATTTTACATTTCAGCTACAATCCCTTCGGAGTTAACTTTTGTACACAACAAAATGAATCAAAGTTCACTGCATTTTCTGCATAAACATTCATGAAAGAATAGCGGTCTGCAGCTCTGTTTTTTAACCGTAAATTCAATTTCTTTCATTTCTACTGGCCACCTGTTTCTTGCTAAGCAAGCTGTGATAGACTGTGTCTTTCAAGGCATTTTCCCTTCCACCCTTTTCATTCCTGATATTGCTAATATCTGACTTTATTTGTGGTCATGCTGATGCTGTTCAAAGCACTGCTCGTGGGTGCCTGCGACTCCCTCCAGTGAGTTTTCCTGCTTTGCATTTCTTCGGTCTCCACACCGATCCTGACTCTTCCCTTTCACCTGTGCACGTGGGTTTAATTCGTTCTTCTTCCAGTTCCTGATGGTAGACCACGAATCTGAGAGCCCTAGGCCCCTAGTGGCGGCTCTCAGCACTTACAGAGAGAAGGAGAGACAGAGAGAAAGAGATCTTCTGTCCACTGGTTCACTCCCCAAGTGGCTCCGAAGCCAGGAACCAGGGGCTTCTTCCTGGTACCCCATGCAGGTACAGGGTCCTAAGGCTTTAGGTCGACTACTTTCCCAGGCCACAAGCAGGGAGCTGGAAGGGAAGTAGAGCAGCTGAGACGCGAACTGGTACCAATAGGAGAACCTGGGTGCACAAGGTGAGGAATTCATCTTTTCTTTTAAAGATGGTTCTTCATCCTTTTTCCCATTTGCATTGTTCCCAGGAAGAAATCAGATATCATCCATGGTTTCTGTTCCCCTGTGTGTGTGCATGTGTAGACAGATTATATGGATAGAAGAATGTAGATAAACGACGGAGATACGGCTGGATGACAGCCAGCCACCTAGACAGGGTGGTCTGTCACTCCTTGTGCCCCTGGCTGTGGCCGGGCGTGCCTGTGAACTCCTGCATGCAGAGAGCTGTTTGCTTCCACCTTGGTTTCATCAGCAGAGACTTTCTGTCCTCTCCGGTGACAACACCAAGTTCACATTCATCAGTTCCTTGAGAGGGCCCCAGAGCGTTTCTCACATTTCCTTTCGGAGCTTTGTAAGTGGCTGCGTTGTGCACCTCATCAGCCCTTCTGCCGTGTCCAGTCCTGTCCAGGGTGGGCTTTGTCCCCCACACTACAGCATCATTTCATTAAGACTGGCTCTGGCTTTTTTTTTTCCTCTTCCAAATTCCATGCCTTTCTTGCCTTTCTGAAGGTCTGAAACACCATTCCATCTGGTTGACCCCCTTGCCTGTTCATCTTGATGCCCATGGCAGCTCCAGTCAGCACCAGCTCACTGGTCTCCTCACAGAAGGGGTGCTGTTCTCCTGTGTGTGTCTGGTGATAGTTCATGGGATCCCAGCATCACTGAATGCTTTTATAGCCCTACAAATGTTCTTTTTAAGACTGATTTTATTTTTATCTAGAAGGAATAATTGCAGAGAGAAGGAGAGACTGAGGGAAAGAGAGGCCTTCCATTTGCTGGTTTGCTTCCCAAATGGCTGCAATGGCCAGAGCTGGGTCAGTCCAAACTTCTTCCAGGTCTCCCACATGGGTACAAGGGACCAAACCCTTCCCAGGCCATAAACAGGGAGCTGGATGATAAGTGGAGTAGCTGGCACATGAACCAGCACCCATATGGGATGCCAGAGCTGCAATCGGAGGCTTAGCCTGAGGTGCCATGGTGTTGGGCCCCAGCAAATATTCTTTTTTTTTTTTTTTAAGTAAGCATTCTTGAGTTTTGCTCTGCAATGTGGCTATTTGGAAACAGTGTGATCTTCTTGCAAGTTGCAGTCAAGATTCACCAGGAAGGACTGCAGCCCTTCTAGGTCTGGGACTGGGACTCGGGGTGCTTGTTCCTTTAGCTTTGAGATAAGACCCCTCTCTGTTCACCCCATAGCTGATGTCTATAAATGACCAATCTGGGTAAGTGTCAGTTGACATTCCTGGCCATCCAATCACTCCCCAGGCCTCCAGAGCTATCGGAGCAGCCATTTCCTCTTTGGTCCTCCGAATAGGAAACTCCAGCCACATGGCTCTCCCGGGCTCTCAGCAACTTCTCGACTCAGGGAGTGGCCCTGGAACCCCTGGAACCCCCTTCAGGACAGCTTCAAGCCCAACAACACGCCAGTGGATTTCTACTCGTGTGGGTGAAGACGGCCCAGCACACGATGCCTGTGTCTCCCTGCTGGTCCTCCCTGTTGTTCAGGGCTTATGCCCGGCTGCTCCCTCCTGTCTGTGGGCCTCAGAACCAGGGCTGCAGATGGCCAACCCCACCTCAGAGGGGGACGGAGTGCTAGGACAGTGGAGCAGACTCATGAAGGCTCCAATGCCTCCTAGTGGTGACCCAAGGTCTGGGCTGGCCTTGACTCATCTGGTTTCCTTCCAGCCACTTCATCAACCTCCCCAGGGGCCACATGTACGGGTATGGTTCTAATGACTTCCCAGACATTGCAGTCAGCACACAGTCATACGGTCTTTCCTCATCTTTCGACAGTGCCCTGAGCTCAGCAGCCAACTGGACCAAAGGGGCAGGTGGGCAACCTGGTCTCGGACAGGAGCCACATGGCACTAGCTGTATTCACTAAGAGTGGCTAGAAGAAGCTGGCACTGCGGCGCAGTGAGTAAACCTGCTCTTGGGACACCCAGCATCACACATCACAGTGCTGGTTCGAGTCCTGGCTGCTCTGTTTTCAACCCAGCTCCCTTCTTGTGGCATGGGAAAGCAGCAGAAGATGGCCTCTGCACCCATCTGGGGGATCCAGATGGGAGTTCCAGGCTCCTGGCTTCAGCCTGGCCCAGCCCCTACTATTGTAGCGATTTGGGGAATGAAGCAGTGGATGGGAAATTTCCCTGTTTTTCTGTTTCTCTCTATCCCTCAGTCTTTCAAATAAATAAATAAAAGTATATATCTTAAAGAGCAGATAGCAACAAAATGCATCTTACTGCCCAGCAGACATTAATGTATATCTTAGCAAATCATGGGGGTCGGTGCCCACTTCTTTTTATGATTTAAAGATTTATTTACTTTTATTGGATAGGCAGATTTATATAGAGAAGGAGAGATGGAGATCTTCCATCTGCTGGTTCATTCCCCAAATATCTGCAACGGTCAGAGCAGGGCTGGTCTGAAGCCGGAGCTTCTTCCACGTCTCCCATGCAGGTGCAGGGTCCCAAGGCTTTGGGCCGTCCTCCACTGCTTTCTCAGGTCACCAGCAGGGAGCCGGATGGGAAGTGGAGCAGCCAGGACATGAATCGGTGCTGGCACTGCAGGCGTGCTAACTCCCCACAGTTCGGGCACCTCTGGCCCCACAGGGAAATCATTTCTATGCCAGGAAGGCACTGAGCTTCTGATTTACAGGGACCTGTATTCGTCCCAAGGGCCTCAGGTGGCCCTTCCCGTGCAGGACAGTTGTCCCCTGGGCTCGGCTCATGCTTGCCAAGCAACACCAGGTTGCCACTCCTCCTGCCACCTGTGGGTCTGAGTCAGAAGGAAGCTCAGACCAGCTAAGGAACCTGAGACAGCATGGGCAGACTGGGGTCAGGTGGGCGAGCAGGTGGCTGGGCTGGTGCCAGGATGAGCTGGGGTGGCTCTGGGCCGGAGACAGCCAGTGACATAGGGAGGCTACTGCATCCTGTCCCTCATATCTCCTGCTCCCCACTTTCTAAGCCACAGGGTCACCGGATGTGAAACAGGGCAGAGAGCAGGAAAACCCTTGGAAGCCAAGGCATGGTAGCCAGGACAACAGAAGGGGGTTGCCAGGTGCTGGGCTATGGGCGTCTGCTGGGGCTAGGGCTGGTGCAGGAGGCCTGGGGGTCCAACCAGGCTGGAGGCTGAGAGGCACTGGACCCGGAGTGGTGCAGGGAGAGGCCGGTGCAGGGAGAGGCCGGTGCAGGGAGAGGGGGAATGTCAAGATGTTACTCTTTAGCTCAACTCTCTCCCCCAGGGGCTTCCAGCCCCTGCAGGTCCTGGTGCCTACACTCAGCTCATCCCCTTGACTGCCACCCAGAGTCCTCCACCCTGGGACTCTGGGGTCACCATGCATAACCTGGGCCGCATCTTTAACCTGCTTAGCCACAGCTATGGATCCATGGGCCCTGCCCTGAAGGGACGGGACTGGAACACCTAAACCGGGACTGGACTGAAACAGCCCATGGGTGGGGGCATTAAGGAGACCGACCATAACCCAGTGTTAGTCAGAAAGGGAGAAGATTGGACACTGGCCATCCCTCAAACTGCTGTTCCCTTCTCTGGGTGAGCAGCGACTCTGCGAGTCCCCTGGGGGCGGGGAGAGGCTGACCCCCTGGGGTGTGCAGCCCACGGGAGCAAAGCACACAGCAGCAGCTGCAGCAGCCACGACCAGGGCACGCACGGATGCACGCACATGCCCGTGGCGACGGCTAGGAGGTGGAGGCTGCTGGGACATGCATCTGTGCACCTGGTTAACTCTGGTGTGCACATGCTCCACATATGAACAGTGGAGGCCAGAGGTCAGGGTGAGGTCAGAGGCAGAAGAGAAAGGTGACAGACATGGGACCCCCAGAGGTGGCAGGAGGTGGCGCCCAGTGTGCACACTCCTGGCTGGTGGGAGGCCCAGCCTGCAGCTCAGTCACTGCCCGCTTCGAGGGCTACCCAGCAAACAGTTGGGGACAGCACTAAAGCTGGGATGTCACACGCTGTTGTGCAGCCATGCAGGGCAACTGTGGGGAGCCTGGGAGCTATTGCAAGGCCTTGGGGACATCTCTCAAGGTGGGATCTGTGAAACCAGCTGACTTTGGAGAGCAGGAGACACGGGCCCAGGCACACCAGAGTCGGCAGGTGCCCTGAGCCTTGCCCTGGCTGGCAGGAGGGTGGCTGAAGGGGGGTGGCATGGGCATCTCAGAAGTCACTACCAGGGGTCTGGAGCTGGGGAGCAAGAGGCAGCCCTCCGGCTCTCTCTCAGTTTGGGTCACACTGGGGAAGGGCAGGACTGTCCCCACCACACACTGAGCTACACCTGAGGAGTAGGAAGCAAGAGATGGGAGGAGGAAAGGGGTCCTCAACCCCCGGGCGAGCGGATGGAGCTGGTGACCCAGAAATCAAACCTCCCCTCCCCCACCAGGGCAGAAGAGGGATGGTGTGCCCCGAAAGGGGCCCCTCAGTGCTCACCATTCATCTGGGAGGGTGACACCGAGTAGTCGCGGTCCACATGCCGCCGGTCGGGCTTCAGGTGGCGGCTCTGCCTGCCCGAGCCCTCGAGCAGGTCAATGAGCTCACCGCGGTCGATGCTGCGGAGGGCTGTGTACAGACTGTCCACTGCGGGAGGAGAGGGCAGGAATGAGGGGCCCACGTGGCTGGGCTGGGGTGCCCGCAGGGTGCAGGGCCAGGTGAGCCGCCTCTCTACAGACTTTGTAAACTGGTCTTTTAGTACGCTAGCAAGAGTCAGATGTCAGACACACACGCCATCATCTGGGGGTGCTGGGGCCATTTTGGTAGATTCTCAGGGAGAGCCAGAACTGTAGGCATATACACTCTGGTCCCCGCAACTTCTGCCAGGACTGCTTTGTAGAGCTACTGGTTGGGGAGTGATGTGTGTGTGTGTGAGTGTGTGTGTGTGTGTGAGTGCATTATGCATGCACATATATGCATACAAAGCACACATGTGTACTGTGCATGCATGCATATATCTGCACACACGTGTATGGGCACGCACACATGTGCAACTTGCATGTGTTGTCGACTGTCACACTGTGCACATGAGTGCTATGTGTGTGTACATGCTGCAGTGTGTGTGCCTGTGTCGGTGTGTTTGTGTCACACAGAGAGGGAGGGACAGAAGGACAGAGGCAGAGAGGTGCCAGCAGCAGGAACAGAAGCACTAGAGGTGCCAAGGGCTTGGGGGGCGGGAGAGGGACCCCAGCTTGGGGTACTGACTTTGGGCGTTTTTGCCTTCGCGTAAGACCCAGAGGTTCAGCAAGGCTGTGCTCTGATCCAGCAGCGAGTTGGGGTTCTCTACGCGGATCCTATTGATGTCTTCCACGCTGAACTGCAGCTCCCGGGCCAACTCTGCAAGCCAAGCAGGGGGACATGGCGCTTCATGATCCCGTCCCCCATGGGGTGGGGTGTGGTGGGCAGGGCTGGGATGGCCTGGGTCTCCCCTTGGATTTGGCAGTTCCAGGCTCAGTATGTAGATTCTGAGTGAATGGATGACAAGGGCCCTTTCTTGTCTTTTTCTTTTCTTTAAAGATTTATTTATTTTTTATTGCAAAGTCAGAAATACAGAGAGGAAAGAGAGAGAGAAAGATCTTCCATCCAATGATTCACTCCCCAACCAGCCACAACAGCCAGTGCTACGCTGATCCAAAGCCAGGAGCCAGGAACTTCCTCCAGGTCTCCCACGCAGGTGCAGGGTCCCAAGGCTTTGGGCTGTCCTCAACTGCTTTCCCAGGCCACAAGCAGGAAGCTGGATGGGAAGGGGAGCAGCCGGGACTAGAACCGGAGCCCACATGTGATCCTGGCAGTCAAGGCAAGGACTTAAGTCCCTAGGCCACTGTGCCGGGCCCCTTTTTTCGTCTTTGCAACTTCAAACATGAGATGAGACTCTTAAGCCGTTGGCAGGATGGCCAGCTTCTCCAAAGTCACAAAGCAGGCTGGCCCTAAGCCAGGAAGGGGCCGGGGACATGTCTCTGGTCCCAAGGCAGTTGGTGCTGTGGCAGGACCCTGACTGTGAGAACAGGCAGCTGCAGTTATGCAGTGCCCTCAACTTAAGAGGAAAGTGTGGGGGGATAAGGGGTCCTTATCACAGCCTCTCAGGGTGCTGCCCAAGTGTGGGGAAGATTCAAGGGGAGCAGTGGTGGAAGCCAGATCTCTCTCTCTCTCTCTCTGTCTCTCTCTCAATCTCTCTCTCTCACACACACATATGTGCCCTGCGGAAGGCGAGCTGGCTCAAGAAGGGCTACTGCTATGATGTGGTAGGTCAAGCTGCCGTCCGGGGATCTCATATGGGTGCCGGGACACTTTCAATCCAGCTCCCTCCTTTATGCACCTGGGAAAGCAGCGGAGGATGGCTAAGTGCTTGGGACACTGCACCCACATGGGACAGTCCGATGGAGTTCCAGGTTCCTGGCTTGGGTCTGGCTGTTGCAGTCATTTGGGGGAGTGAACCATCAGATAGAAGATCTTTCTCTGTCATTCTGCTTTTCCAATAAATATTTTTTCCCCTAAATGTATAGCTTCCCCTTTAGGCTCCTGCCATCTCTCTTGGCGGGAGGAGGCGGAGAGAGAGAGGGCAGAAATATTTTCCACTGTGGTTCACCAAGGGGACGAGACGTGGGATAGGGCTCGGGCAGGCGTGGGGTCGCTCACCTGCCCAGCTGAGGCCCAGGTGCTCCGAGATGACTGCCATCTTCATGTCTGCTCGGTCTGTCCCACTGAGAAAACCTGCGGAGAGCGTTGAGACATCCCTCCCTGGTCAGGGGCCTAGCCAGAGCTGGCCTAGGCACTGGTTCTCCAGGCTGGACTCAGAGCTGGCTGAGACTGACATGGGCCCAGAGGGTCCCTGACAGGCTGTGGTGCCAGGAGCCACTGGCCCTGCCCTGAGCCAGGAGCTGGGCAGATATTTCAGGCTTCTACCTGGGGACTCGCTGAGAATGCTGTATCTCAGGGCCAGCGGTGTCAAGGTCCTCCTCCTGTCCTCTCCTCCGCTCCCCTGCAGAAGAAATACAGAGAAAGGAGGGGAGTGGCATGGTTAGCTGACCCCATCCCTCCTTCTTGGCACAGGTGGCTGGGGCCCTCTGCTGTGGGGATGGGACGGGAGTGGGGATGATGCACCTCCCCCGACACCCCTGCAGGCCCTGGGTGCACAGGAAGCAACCTGTAAGTGTGGAGACGCGGTGACAGGGAGGAGAGGCAGTCGACAAGGTTCCCACGCTGAGGGCAGAGCCAGGATGGAGGGGATCTGGCTGCAAGCTCACCCAGTGTGTGTGGGAAAGGTAGCTTACTTGTCAGGCTGAGGGAAATGGGGGCAGCCAGGAGCCCAAACCAAGCTCCCCCACCACGCCCGCTGGAGAAGAGCCAGGAGCCCCTGGTGCAGCAGCTCTGCAGAAGGTCTGGCTCACCTTGGTGCAAGGGGGCATGGTGACATTCAAGTGGCACAGGATATGCTGGGCATCCTCATACTTCATGGCCTTGCGCAGGAAGAGCAGGGATCCCCCTGGCTCCCGGCTGCTGTCGCGCACCTGGACATGATCACACAACTCAGGCGACGCCATGGTTGCAGCACCCTCCCCCCGCATGCTTCCCAGATCCCACGGTGGGTGCACCTTCACTGGGATGGCAAGCCGGTTCTCACGGAAGGACTGGAAGTGGAAGCTGCGCTGCTGGGCTGCCTTGCGGACCGGCACCAGGTTCCCTGACAGCTCTGCGAACAGCGACATGCCCTCCAGGACCTGTAGGGAGAGCAGAGGCACACCGCCCCACGCGTGCAAGTGTCAGAGGCCACGGCCACCTGATCCGTGCTGCCCTGATGTCCGCTGCTTGCTATGGGAGAGGACAATGACCAGGCGCTTAGGATCAGCAGTGATTTGCCACATCTGTAGGAAGCTGACCCGCTCCAGAAAAACTCTGCTAGATCCAAGGTAGCTTCTGGGAAAATCTGAATCGGAAATGTTTTATTTTGGGACCACGTCATGATGCAAGGAGTTAAGCATGGGATGCAGGTTTGAGTCCTGGCTGCTCCACTTCTAATCCAGCTCTCTGCAGAATCACCGGGAAAGCAGCTGAGGATGGTCTAGGTGCTTGGACCCCTAAACCCAAGTGGGAAATCTGGAAGCCGCTCTTGGCTATGGCCTGACCCAACCCTGGCCATTGCAGCCATCTGGGGAATGAATCAGCAAATGGAAGATCTCTCTCTCTCTCAATCTGTCTTTCAAAAAAGCAAATCAATTCTTAAGAAACAATGTTGGGGGTCCAAATGCAGTAGCCTAGCGGCTGAAGTCCTCGCCTTGCACGCACCAGGATCCCACATGGTCACTGGTTCATGTATTGGATGCTCCACTTCCCTTTCAGCTTGAGAGGGGAGTAGAGGATGGTCCAAGGCCTTGGGATCCTGCACCCATGTGGGAGGCCTGGAAGAAGCTCCTAGCTCCTGACTTTGGATCAGCTTAGCTCTGGCCATTGCAACCACTTGAGGCATAAGCCAGCAGGTGGAAGATCTTTCTGTCTCTCCTTCTCTCTGTAAATATGCCTTTTAATAAAAATAAATAAATCTTTAAAAAAAAATATTGGGCTCTGGAGAGGTGCTGCGAAGGCCACCCCGCATTCCAATCCCGCTGGTAACAGCTATCCCTTCATAGCCTCTTTGCTTGCTAAAGCTGTTGACTTGGAAGTCATCATGAACCCTCTTGACAGGCGAGGAAACAGGCCCAGAAGCAACAGACGGAACTAAAAAGCAAACCCATTTTGATGTAAAATATTTTTGAGAGATTTATTTATCTTTATTTGAAAGAGTTACAGAGAGAGAATCTTGCATTTCCTTGGTTCACTCCCCACATGGCTGCAACAGCCAGAAAGGGCTGATCATAAGCCAGGAACTTCTTCTGGATCTCCCATGCGGGTGCAGGGGCCCAAGGACTTGAGCCATCTGCTCCTCTCCCAGGCCACAAGCAGGGAGCTGGATGAGAAGTGGAGCGGTTGGCATACAAATCTGCACTCACTTGGGATGCTACAGGTGCAGGCTTAGCTATGCCATGGCACCTGTCCCAACAAAAACCGTGTCTGAAATCCACACAACAAGAAGGTTCTAGTGAAAGCTCCCAGAGGCTGAGCAGTTGAGCTCCCTCTCAGGAGCCTTCATCCTGGAGCAGGTCAGAGCGCCTGCGCTCCAGCCCCACTCCCTGTGTGCACTCTGCCTGACACCCACGTGGAGACCCGAAGGAGCGCCAGGCTCCTGGCCCAGGCCTGGCTACTATGGGCTTTGGAGAGTAATCCAGGCCATTGAATATCTCTCTCTCTCTCTCTCTCTCTTTCTCCCTATGTTTCTATCTCTCAAAAAGACGTTTTTTTCTCCCATGGAAAATGCATATCGTGTTCCCCAGCTGTTAGGCAACTGCCTAGGTAGTCCTGTACCTAGGTAGGTGTTACACTGCTGGGAGAAAAGCAGCTAACAACTGGTAGGCATTTGGGGCCTGGTTAACGTCAAATTTGTGTTAATTGTACCACTGTGCCAGCATAGTTGCCTATTCTACTTAAAAAAAAAAAAAAAGAAGAAGATATGTGGGGAAGGCAGCATTGTTGGACATACCACGACAGTCTCTAGGCGGGGTGCTGCAGATTACCCAGGGAAGGGGACCTGGGGACGTACTGGAGTGGGAGCAGCTGAGGGTGCATCTGGCACAGGAGGAATGACTTCTGGGAATCACTGCACTTGCAGGTAGGTGAGGGAGCTGAGATGGAGTGGTTCAGAGAGATGGAGTGATTCAGAGAGGGGAAGCCAGAGGGCATGTGTGGGTGAGGCCAAGGCAGCCGTCCACATGGGAAACCTGTGTTAAATAGCATCTCCTGCCACCTGTATGCCGGCACAAACAAAAGCTGGGACTGGGGCGGGGGTGTGGGCATGCCTGGCTGGGCAGGCTGCAATATCCACCTGAGTATAGCGGCAGGGAGTGGGCCACATCAGGCTGGGCCATAACACCCATCAGAACACCAAAGAATCAGATCTGGGGCAGATTCTGTAGAGGATTTGTGGGCTTGCCTCAGTTTGCATAAGAGTTGGGGGTGGTGATAGGCAGAGCCATGCTGGACCACGGAATTCAGCTCACAGTTCACCTGACACTTGTGGGAGCCGTGGCTAGGAGGAGGCTGGGCTGGGCCACACCTGCCAGCACATGCAGAGGCTGGGACTGAGGGCAGACCATGTCAAGCAAGGTTGAGGCACCCATCGGCATGTGTGAGATCTGAGGCTAGGAATGGGCCTGGTAGGGGAACCTGAAGAACTGCCCGACTAGGTTGCAGTTCCTGCTGGGGAGCAAAAAAGCCAGGGCTAGGGGCAGGCCAGATCAGGAAAGGCTGTAGAACTCAGCAGGCTGCAGTTCCTATTGGTGTGAGAGCTAGATCTGTGAGTGGGCTGGGTAAGGTCGCAGCACCAGTCAGCATGTTTGTAGGATGGGTCTGGGCAGAACTAAGTTGCAGCAATCACGGGTATACACAAGAGACAGATGGAATGTGGGCCGGGCGAGCTTTTTGCATGCTGGCACATGCCAAAATCAGTGTCGGGGATGGGTCTGGTGGGGATCACTGGGCGTTGCCCTGATTAGGCTGCAGCACCTGCTGATGTGTGTGAGACGGCCTGTTGTGGGTTGGGTTGGGCTAGGCTGCAGCACCCACCAGTTTATGAGAGAGACAGTGCAGACAGCTGAACTGACCAGACAGCTGCATCTACCTGTATGTGTGTTGGCTGGTAAAGCTGATGGACCGAATCCGATTCTATACTGGCTGGCTGATGCATGTAAGAGCTGTCTGAGATCTGGGCCTGGCGCGATGGCGCAGTGATTAAGGTCCTCGCCTTGCACGCCCGGGATCCCACATGGGCGCCGGTTCTAATCCTGGCAGCCCCGCTTCCCATCCAGCTCCCTGCTTGTGGCCCGGGAAGGCAGCCGAGGACGGCCTGATGCTTTGGGAACCTGCACCCGCGTGGGAGACCCGGAAGAGGCTCCTGGCTTTGGATTGGCATAGCATCACCCGTTGCGCTCACTTAGGGAGTGAATCATTGGACGGAAGATCTTCCTCTCTGTCTCTCCTCTCTGTATATCCGCCTTTCCAATTAAAAAAAATAATAATAAATCTTAAAAAAAAAGAGCTGTCTGAGGTCACCCCAGGTGAGGTTTCTTGGGGAACTCCTCAACTAGATGACTAGACTCAAACTCCAAGCACAGGAAAAAATCACAATAGATGTCCAACTTTGGAGTGCATGAACTGGGACTGGGCATCCTCAGTTGTTGATGCTTGAACAGTGGACACCATGCCCAGAAGCACACAGAGCACATGACAACCAGCTCATCCAGGCCAGCAGAAGATGTCGAATGCCTCGTCAGAGGACAGAAAGCAGAACAGGTTGGACCACTCTCCTAGCCAAGTTTTGCCAAGTGTCTGGGTCTATGGATACACAAAGGTGTATTTGGTCAGCCAACAGACCTTGGAAAGATTTTCTCAAGTCTGGTGCAATGAAGTGGACAACATCTCAGAGCGATCAAACACCACTCAAGAAATATCCCCCTTGAACACTCTTTCCCAATTTGGGGTCTCTAAAGCATCATCAAGGGACCAACCACAATAACCAGGTGCTGATATAGCGTGACAGCAAGGAGTGGCCTCCTCCCCTTGGGACACAGGAAAAAAAAAATTTGTCCCACCCACTGGTCTCAATATCCAACTCTGCCCACCTTAATCAGAGGCCCATGTGGGCATGCATCACATTCCATCATGTAAATAATATTAAAAATAAAATTTTAAAAAATGCGTATCATGAAAAACTTATTCATGGAGTTTAAAATTTCTTTCGTATCAAAATCAACTTACCTCTAAAGATTCTTACTGAGACAGACAGACACAGAAGCAAGCACATCCACTGGCCAGTTCACTTGCCAGGTGCTGGCAGCTCTCCCCCATGAGCAGCAGGGACCCAATCACTGGAGCCATCACTGCCGCCTCCCTCCCAGGGTCTGCATCAGCAGGAGTGTGGAGTCAGGACCTGGGCCCTGGGACGCCAAGTGCCTGCCCTGAAAGGGTCCTTTAACTGCATGTGTGATGAACTGGCCGGGTGGCTCCCATGCTTGTTTTACCTGCTCAGCCCCTGAGACAGGACCGGACCACTGCTCTCATGAGCGCCCGGCCTGCAGCACAGCAAGAACGTCCACTGTCAGGCCACAGCATGTTTGGCCACATTCTGTGACGCCGACAGCCCATAGGAGCATGTTTTTGAGTCCTAGCTACTGTGCTTTCAAACTAGCTCCATGCTATGTGCCTGGGAAAGCAGGAGAAGATGCCCTGGTGCTTGGGGCCTTCATGTGGAGACCTGGATGAAGCTTCTGGCTCCTGGCTTCAGACTGAGCCCAGCTCTAGTCACTATGGCCGTTTGGGGATTGAACCCATGGAAGGAAGATCTTTCCCTCTCTGTATCTCTCCACCTCTTCTCTGTAACTCTTTCAAATGGACAGTTGATGTTTAAAAAATTAATCAACAGAAGCCAACGCTACTAATCCCCCATTTGTGATACGAGCATCCCATATGGGCACCGGTTCAAGTCCCAGCAACTCCAGTTCCAATCCAGACCCCTGCTTATGACCTGAGAAAGCAGCAGAGGGTGGCTCAAGTTCTTGGGCCCCTGGACCCACATGGGAGACCCAGGGTAAGCGCCTGGCTCCTGGCTTTGCATCAGCTCATTTCTGGCTGTTGCGGCCATTTGGGGAGTGAACCAGTAGATGGAAAAGCACTCTCTCTGCCTCTCCTCTTTGTAACACTTTCAAGAAAAATAAGTCAATCTTTAAAAAACTCAGTAAGTGCCCTCCCCATGTCGCTAGTCCTTAGGCCTGCAGTCAGTCAGCTGTCTCCCACATGAGGCCTCTTCCCGGTCTGCTGAGGCTTCTGGGAGACACCGGGAGATGCTGGCTTTCCTGACCTTCTGCAGAGCGAGTGCCCTGAGGGGATCACGGTGACCGCGTTGAGGGGGGCTGTACCTCAATGTCCCTGCTCCGGGCCACCTCCACGAAGTTCTCGTGCTGCTCCAGGGTCTTGTCCACCTTGTCATCCGTCATGCAGTAGCAGCGTAGCCGCCCTTCTCGGGGGTCGTTCATCTTAGCAAAGATGACAAACTTGGCCATGTAGGGCACCGCTGTGAGCTCCTTGTAGAGCATGGTGGCGAAGTTCACGGCCTCGGCTGTTCGCGGGCAGTCTGACAGCCAGAACCTGTGGGGGAAGGTGAGGGTGGAGGCAGAGTTGAAAGCGTGTTCCCCACTCAGGCCAGCCTGTGGGGGCCGCGGTGGAATGGGGCAGCCTCCAGACCCACCTGGCAGACACGTTGGTGGTGAAGTTGGCACACTCATTGGCATACACGAGCTTGGTTGTTCCTGTGATATCCTCCCACTGGGCCTGGTCTGTTCCACCTGTAAGGGCAGGGGAAACAGGGTTGGGGGGCTTACCCAACCAGCAGGCCCTGGTGTGTTGCTCCTCCTCCTGGGGGGCTTGGGGTCCCCTGCTCTCTCAGAAGAAAGGCCAGGGCTCCCTCCTGGCAGGCAGGGCTGGGGAGGAGCTGCCTGGGTAGGGGTGCAGGTGGGCATCCTCGCTCACCGATGACACTGCAGAGCAGGCGCAGGCTGGTGGTGTCCCCTTCTCCACTGTCCCGCGGGTTGTCCGTCCAGGACGGGGGCAGCGGGATGCGCAGGCCAATGGGCCGGTGGAACTTCCGGCGCCGGGGCTCCACGGTGACAATGGGGCTGAAGGTGGCCTGGTTGCCCAGGAGTTTGGTGACCAGGTCGTCGGGGACAGGCTGGGCCTGCCAGGAGTCAAGGGTGCGTTCATGCCTGAGTGACAGCCTGGAGGTGGCACCATACCCAGGGCAAAACTGCAGGGCATGCATGCCGGGTCTGGACTGTCCCCAGCCCCTTGTTGCCCGTTCTCCTTGGAACTGTCTCCCAGCCCCCTACCCAGCAGACCAGGCCTCCCCCTACCCCCTGCCCTGCCTGCCTGGGTCACGGGGCATCACCTGAAGGGCCAGCTTCACCCGCTTGGTGACAGCGTTCTCTGGGAAGGTGGCCTGCACCATGGGTACCAGCTTGCTCTGCAGAGCCCCGCCCTCGGGCCCGATGGTGTCGCAGTCCTGGCACAGGCGCGACATGATCACGAAGTACAGCGGGAAGTCCGTGGTGATGATGCGACACACACGCTTTTTCTCCAGCTCCTCCAGGCTGCCCAGCTCTGCGACCCCACATGCACCCTGGTCAGGGTCACGCCCATGGGCTGCGACCTCCAGTAGGTGGCCCTGACAGCCCCTCGCACCTACCATCTCCAGCACGCAAGCCTCTGGCAGGAGGGACACCCCTAAACACATCTCTGGGTTCCAGGGGACCCTCGTCCATCCTGTATCCCCAGGCCCCAGGGGACCCTCGTCCATCCTGTATCCCCAGGCCCCAGGGGACCCTCGTCCATCCTGTATCCCCAGGCCCCAGGGGACCCTCGTCCATCCTGTATCCCCAGGCCCCAGGGGACCCTCGTCCATCCTGTATCCCCAGGCCCCAGGGGACCCTCGTCCATCCTGTATCCCCAGGCCCAGGGGACCCTCGTCCATCCTGTATCCCCAGGCCCAGGGGACCCTCGTCCATCCTGTATCCCCAGGCCCAGGGTACCGGGTACCTTCGTCCATCCCGTTGAGGATCTGGTCCAGGTAGCTTTCTCCGTAGCGACTCTTGTGCTCCTTCCACACCGAGCCGTTTTCACTTCTCAGCACCACCAGCTCGCGGTCCCCACGGCCGTGGGAGGCAAAGTGGGGTATCTCCACGATCACGGGGCTGCGATGGTAAGAGTGGGTGTTGAGGAGGTGCTCCTGAGCCCAGCAGTCCCCCAGCCGTCTGTCCCTTCCCAGGCGGGCGCTGTGGGCCTCCTGGTGTACGCCGCAGCCCATCCCAGCCCTGGTGCCTTTATCCAGCACTCTCAGCCCCCTCCCAACGCAGTGGGCAGTGAAGGGAGGAACTGGGATGGGACTTGGTGCAGGTGGCCCTCTCACCTCAAGAACTGAACGCCCGTGGGCCCCAGCGCGATGATCCTGCTGGCCAGGCCCTCCTCCTCGGCCAGCGGAGGCGGTGTGCTCAGCTTCTGGGGCTTGACCAGGCGGCAGGTGATGCGTGTGGGCGCTGCGCAGGTGCGCGGAGGGATCACCACCCGGAGACCATTGTGCCGACTGCCCCTCATGGAGCCTCCCCGGGCGTCTACCATGAAGCTGACCAGGAACCTGGGGCCGTGAGCATGTGGGCATTGGGCATCCAGTGTCAGGGAGAGCCGGGGTGAGGGGAAGCGGGGGGGGGGGGGGGGGGGGCGGTACCGTGAGCCACACTCACCCTGTGTGGACAGGGCTGGCCACCGGGCTGATATTGTCAGAGGTCTCCGTGGCAGGGCTGCTGGGGATCAGGGAGTCTTCGTCGTACTCCTTGGAGGCCTAGGGAGAGCAGAAGGCGAGGCCCGTGGGTGGGGGCTCCCTCCCACCTTCTGGGCCTCTCCTGGCCTTGGGCGGAGCCAGAGCAGGGATACACCCAGCAGTCGGAGGTGTACCAGGCGGCCTCCTCCTGCCCAGCTCTGCCAAGAAGGGACGTCGTGCGCGGGCAGGGCGTGGCCCTTTGCACCAGCACTTGCAGCTCCCTGTCCTGCCGGCCTCTGGGGCACCCACAGCGAGTGCCCTTGAAGGCTTCTCTCTCCCTTCTCTGCAGAAGAGGCTGCACCTTGTTCACAGCCTTGGGACAAAGCTGCTGCGCATGGGCCAGGGTCTCCACATTGACTGTCAGCTCTGCTCTCACTCGAGCTCTCACAGGTGTTCCCCCCCACCCCCCCACGAGGCCTTCCGTGGGTCCCTGGCCTCCTTCTTGTCTCTCCCGGAGAATGTGCAGGAGTCCCTCCAGGAAGCACCTGCTGGCCTGAGGCCGTGACCCAGCTGAGAGGCCAGCACAGTGGTCTGGCAGGGACAGCTGTTGCCTAGCTCTGCCCAGTCCCAGCTGCTCCACTTCCCACCCAGCTCCATGCCAACACGCCTGGGAGAGCAGCTGGCATTGTTCCTGGCAGAGAGACAGGGAGACTTGGATAGAGTTCCAGGCTCTGGGTTGGGTTTGACCTAGCCCTGGTCATTGTGGTGATTTGCAGAAACAGTGGATGGAAGATCTCTCTTTCCTCTCTCTGTAACCCTGACTTCCAAATAAATAATGTGGGTTTTTGTTTTGTTTTAAAGTGACAGTTGGTCAGTTGAGGAACAAGCAGACGATCCTCAGGGCTGTTTATCTCACTGATGGTAGTGGCATCTTGGGAAAACACCCCAGCAGTAACAGCCACAGCAGCCACCTTTCAGACACCCTAGCCCCCAAGGAAACCACAGAGACCCGGGACAGCCAGCCCAGCTGACCTACTCCTGGGCATGGATTCAGACAGACACCCTCTGGGAAGAGAGGGAGGGACCAGCCCGTGGCATCAGACCTCACCCTCACTCATGTCTGGGGGTGACCCACACGGTGGACATCTGGGATGATGTACCACCAGGAGCCCCTGCCCATGCAATGGCCCCTTCCCGTGTTGTGCCTCCACCATGCAGGGGCTCCCTTACCCAGACAGTGGGAAATAGGATGCCGGGGACTTCCTTACCTGCTCTGGCTCCTCGGATCGGATCACCACAGTCTCAGGCGTGACACATGGGATCCTGGGGATGGCTGGGGACTCCACGCTGCGTGACGAGAGTATGTGCCAGTCAGAGGAAGAGGAGCTTCCTCACAGGCCCTGGGATGGCCCTCGCTTGGCCCTAGCTGCCTGCACCTTGGAGATGTGCTGCCCCACCACCCTGCAGCTGTCCTTGCAGCCTGGCTGCAGAACCTGCTCCCCCTGCCAAGCGCTCCAGGTCCTGACTGGCTCGACTGCTTTCCCAGGCCACAGGCAGGGAGCTGGAAGGGAAGCAGGGCTGCCGGGATTAGAACCAGCGCCCATATGGGATCCCGGGCGTGCAAGGTGAGGACCTTTAACCACTTGCGCCACCGCGCCGGGCCCCTGACCGGCTCTAATCTACCATGTGGTGGACCCCTCACTCAGGCCCTGGCAACGTGAGCTCACTGACCACCGATGGTCAGGTATCCCAGTTCAGTTTTCTAATAGGCACTTAGTAAATGCTCGTGACTGAGAGAAGCCTGGTAGTGTTGCTGCCTGGTGCCTACTCTGCTGCGGTCTCCTGTGAAGGTAGCTGCTGGCTGCCGGGGTCTTCCCAGGAGGTGACTACAGCTCTGCCTTTCTAAGCCGCTGACCAAGCTGGAGCCTAGCTCGGTCCTAGTTTCAGACGCAGAACCTCCACAAGAAAGGACAGGCTGCGAGTGAGTGGGGAAACAAATCAGGAGGGCAGGGGTGGCAGAGGATGAAGAGGACCTGGTGAGCGGTTCTATGTGTTCATGAGGGGAGATCAGGGTACAGAGCCAGGAAGCACCACCCCCCACCCGGGGGGTGCTGACGCCAAGACTGTCTGCTGTCCCTGCCAGGAAGGGGGACCCCCCTCTTACACTTGGTCAAGCTTTGGCACAAAGTCCAGCAGCTCTCTCTCGTCATCCACATCCCTGGCGTCCGGTTTCTCAGCCTTGGAGCCCACGAGGTCTTCCCCTGGACAGACCCAAAGTTCAAGTGAGCCTCTGGGCTGGCGGAGGATAAGGGCTTCTCCTGGTCCAGCTCGTGGGGCTGCTCCTGGGCAGAGCAGGAAGGGCCAGGAACTCCAAGGGGGTCCACCTGCCGGCCCTCCCGCTTCCCATCCTGGGGAGTGGGGCAGCCAGCTCCTAATGCCTTCAGCTTTGCAGAAGCAGAGAGCCAAACCCTAGGACCTGCTCTGTGAGCATGTGACAGTATCAGAGGGGCTGTGGCTTCCCCTCTCCAAGTCACCCCAAAGAAGTCAGCCACACTGTGGCTCGTGTTTTGAAGGGTTTTTGCTTGTACTATAACCAGGGGAGCTGACACCTCATTATTTCCGAAGCTCAGTTACGAAGAGGTTCAAACTCCAAGTCACTCAACTGCCAGACTGAATTTCTGTGTGTCTCCTGGGATGAGCTGGGAGCTGGAACTCCAGTAGGGCTCAGGGGTGGGGTGTGGTGGGGGCTGAGGCCTGACCTTGAACTGTACCACCTGCTGCCCCACCCCCTGCCCTGGGCGGTGTGATCTGGCACTGACAATGGAATAACGACGTGGGCAACTCATGCAGTTATGGTCACAACACGGCGCAGCGGCATGGGGACAGACACAGAGATGGACAGGTGGGATGCTGTCCCCACTCCCCCTTACCCCCTCTAGGGCCTGGCGGGAACTTGCGGGTTCTCCCTGTCCCCCAGGCTCTGGGCTCCAGGTTGTTAGGGTGGGGGGTGGGAAGCAGAGGTGGGTTAGTGAGGGCTTGGGGGAGGGGAGTGAAATGTGTTCTGGTGAGAAAGCTCACAGGAATAGAAAGCGTCTCATACCCATTAGAGATAAGTGAGCGGTGCCTGGAAAGCAAAGGAGAGCCAGGATGAGGAAAGGACAGCGCCGGCGCACGTGGGACTGGTGGAGGGACACGGCCAGAGAGGCCAGGAGGCTGGTCCATCACCTCCCCCCTCCCCCCACCCTGCACCGTGGTGGGAGGGCTCCAGCTGGATCACCCTGGCGAGATCTGAAACGGGGAGGGGGTGCAGCCCACACCCCATGGGCCCTCCCAGGGTCGCTCCGAAGGGCCACTGACTGCAGGATGTTTTCGCAGGTTCTCAGCGGCCCCACCGAGGACTTGTTTAAAGCATGTGGGCAGCACCTGGTGGAACTCGGTCCAATGTGATCCACGCATACAGTACATGCACACACAGGTGTTTACGAACTCGTACATGATTTTAAACTTCCCTCTGTGGGAGAAGGCTAAAGGGATATGTTTGTGGGGGGCGGCCTTGTGGCACAGTGTATAAAGCTGCCACAAGACTATGGCATCTCGCCTGGACGCCAGTTTTAGTACCAGCTGCTCCATTTCTGATCCGTTGCCCTACTAGTGCACCTGGGAAAGCAGTAGAAGATGGCCCAAATGCTTGGGCCCCTGCACCCACGTGGAGGACCTGGAAGAAACTCCAGGTTCCTGGCTTTAAACCAGCCCAGCTCCAGTTGTTTAAGCCAACTGGGGAGTGAACCAGTGGATGGAAGATCTCTCTCTCTCTCAACAATGGACAGTGGTCAACGAGCAGTCTGTTCCTGGCTTCGGAGCACCTCTGGGAGACTCTAGGGTGGCAGGAAGTGCTGGCCAGTGCTCAGCCCTGCCCCTCCCATGCAAACCCATCCCCCTGCACTTCACCTTCATCTTCAGACACGTCCAGGACCTCATCTACTGTCTCCGGGAAACTCATGCGGTGCTTGTCACTGACCATCTGTAGTGAGAGAACAGAAGATTCAGCCCAAAGCAGGCAGGCTGCCCCTGCCCAGAGGCTAGCTGGTCACCACAGGGACAGGAGCAGGAGAGGACCAACCCAAGGGGATCAGACCTAGCTTCCCAGGGTCCCCCCAGCCACCCCAAGCTCCCTCTGTGGCCTTCCAGCAAAGAGCCCGGCCACTCCGCTGGCCACCAGGGGGCGGCAGCACCTGTCTGCTCACCAGCCAGTGTGCACAGGGGTCCCCAGGGTCCATGGAGGGGAGAGGCCCTACGTACCACCACGCTGCCTTCGTCCGTGACCACCTTGAGCACATCTATCACGGAAATGTAGCCCAGGCGCTTGGCGATGGCCAGCGGAGTGGTTCCGTTCTGAGGGAGAGGCCGGGACAGGGTGAGAGGAGCGCACCGGGAAGGAGTACCTGGTCCCAGACAGTGGGCAGGGTTCTGAGGGGCTCAGCCTTGGGCCCAGAGCAAGAGCCCATGTTCACCGCCCCCGCCGAGGGCAACGTCTAGGACTGAAGCCAGGAGCCGTCCGAGGCCAGGCATGCTGTCCACCTGCACCATCCTGGGAAGTCACTCCGCGCATTGCAGACAGAAACAGGGCCACCAGTGGGGTACCCACCCGAGGGAGGACGAGGCTGGCCAAGGCACCCATTGCCAAGCCCTGCCCTCCAATGTGGCCGAAAGATGGCACCCCCTGAGAGCGTGGGCACTCACTGAGCTGACTTCGTTTGGGGAAGCACCACTTTTCAGCAGCAGCGTCACGATGTCCGTGTGTCCTTGCTGGGCTGCCTGGTGCAAGGGGCTGTACCCCAGCTGTGACATGGGGCAGGAGAGGGCTGGTTGGGCAGGGTCAGCTCACCGCCGCGCCAAGAGCCGCCCACGGACTGCAGGGCAGCACCCCCACCCCCCAGCCCAGCCCTGGCCACTTCCTTACCTTGGTCTTGGCATTGACATCTGCCTGGTGCTGCAGCAGGAACTTGACCAGCTTGATGTTTCCATAGTGGCTGGCCACATGGAGAGGGGTGTACCCCATCTGGAAGTTGTGGCGGGAAGCAGGATGACGGACAGCCCCATGAGCCGTGCACCCCCGAAGGAACCCTCCCATGGTTGGAGTGGGGCTGGGAACAGGGCAGGGACTGGTACAGGGTCCCCCTTGAGGTCAGGACCCCAAATGACTAAACTGAGGCTGCAAGAGAGAACAGTCCCCCAAGATGGAGGGTGTCTTGGGTTTGCAGGCAGCCTCTGTGGAGCTTCCAGAATTTTCTCTGTATGCCTTCACCACCACCCTATAGCTCCTTGCCCACAGAGAGCAGGTCAGGCTGGATGCTGGATGCCAGACTGGGTTCCTGAGTGAAGCCAGGAGCCTGCTGTAGACACAACCCAGTTCCTTGCTATGAGGATGGGGGTGGGGGTGCTGGGCTGGGGGATCCCGCAGCATCCTGGAGCAGGTCCAGGAGGGTCAAGGGACAGGAGAACACACTGAAGGCCACACCACCCGCCTTACCCGGGTGGTGGCGTCCACCGTGACGCCGTGTTTGATCAGTACGTCTGCCACCAGCACGTGGCCTTCCTGTGCCACCAGGTGGAGTGGGGTGAGGCCACTCTGAAAGAAAACAGTTGCCCATTAGCTGCTGGCCACCTGCGGAGAGCCAATGGCCAGACACCAAACAGATGCTGGATGCTGGCTTTGTTCCAAAACTCTGCTTACACACAAGCATGAGGCCAGGGTTGGATGCCTGGTCTTGAGTTGTGTGATGGCTTTCCCCAGGGAATGCTCTAATTCTACAGTGGATGGCTCTGGAACTTCCCTCAGGTGGTTAAAATGTTCTGAAGTCAGAAGGGGTCGTGTTGAGGCTCAGCAGGTAAAGCAGCCGCCTGTGGGGCTGGTGTTCCCATGTGAGCTGAGCACTGGTTCAAGAGTCCCAGATGCTCCACTTCTGATCCAGCTCCCTGGCTCAGGCGCCTGGGAAGGGGCAGCAGAAGATGGCCCAAGCGCTCAAGCCCCTCACGCACGTGAGAAAATCAGGAGTTCCAGAATCCTGGCTTTAGCCTGGCCCAACCTTGGCTGTCACAGCCGTTTGGGGAGTAAAACACCAAATCAGAAAACCTCTCTCACTCTCTTGTCCCCACCTCTCTACAACTCTGCCTTTCAAATAATCAAATGAATCTTTAACTAAAGCAGGCTCCCAAGTGTGCACAGTGGTTTTTACGTTAGAACGTCCACCATACATCCAAGCACTGGTCTTTCTGTAGACTCAGCCGTGGCCTTGGCATGGGATCGGGCTGACAGGATCCAGCCTCAGGATCCAGACCCCTTTCTGGCGGTCTATTCATTTGCAAAACTGACCCTGAAACCTGGCAGTGGCTGTGAATGTTGCGCGCACTCACACTCCTGTGGCTCTCACACGCTGGCACGGAGGCTTCCTGCTGGCAGGTGCCAGGCCTACAGACAGGCCCAGGTGTCAGCCTACCTTGTTGCCCAGGTTGCCGTTGGCTTGCTTGGAGAGGAGCAGGGCCACCATGTCGGCGTGGCCCTCCTGGGCGGCCAGGTGCAGGGGTGTCACACCCTGCACCGACTCAGCATTTGCGGAACCCCCGTACTGCAGCAGGCTGCGGGCCACCTCCATCTGGTTCTGCTTTGCGGCTATATGCAAGGGTGTGTAGCCGTTCTGAAAGGGAAGCCCCGTGGGCAGCCTGTCATGGCCAGGCTGGGGAGCACCAGTGCCACTCTAGAGAGACACACTGCAAGGGGACTATATACACACATGCATACATACAGACAGGCACACAGAGACACGCGGAGATGAACTGTGAAGCGCTACAGCGCTCAGAACTCGGAGCTTGGGTAGGGAGGCAAGGACTTGAAGTGGACATCTAGCCCCATGGCAAGGTGGTGCCCCACGTGCTGTGTGCCGGTTTGAGTCCCAGCTACTCTGCTTCCCATCCAGCACCCAGCCTATGCCAGGAAAAGTAGCAGGAGACTGGCTAAGTGCTGGGGCCCCTGCACCCGTGGTGGAGACCCGGAAGAAGCTCCTGGCTCCTGGCTTCGACCTGTCCCAACTCTGGCTGTTGCAGTCCTTTGGAGAGTGAATCAGTTTGGATGAAAGCGCATGCATGCACTCTCTCTGCCCTTCAGAAACATAAATCTATAGTAAAAAAGGGCATTCTCTGAAGAGTTATGTAAGAGGCATCTTGCAAGCCTTCCTTCCTCTCCCTGGATGACGCAGTGAGAGAAACACGGCCCTGTTGTTCATGGGTTGTTCTTCCACAGCCAAACAGGCATCCCGAGAAGGCCACTCAGCAGGCAGGGTGGAGTTTGTGCCAGGTGCATAGAGACAGAACAAGGAAGTGTGGTCACCTGGGGATGCTGGCTCCGTGTGCCCAGCCTCACTAGCAGGCTGCTGCCTGCAGGAGGTGATAAGGACCATGGGGACTTTCTCCCATGGCTAAAGGACAGCCACTCGAGCAGCCTGAAGGACATGTCCCATGTGTCTCTATGGGAGTCCCAAGCCACAAGGGCAGCTGGAGGTGCTCACATTGGCAAGAACAGCACTCAGTCCAGCGCAGCCAAGGGCACAGGCTGCCAGGGGATTCCACGGGTCACACAGGGACAAGATGGACAGCAGCACGGGACCCCCTCTCTGCCTCAGCCCTGACGCCCTGGTGCCAGGCTGGCTGAGAGGGGGCATGAGCTGCCTGCACTGGTCTGTGCTTGGGAGTTGGCTCCCTGGAAACAAGCAGTCTGGTTTCAGTCCCTGTTGGGCAAGCTGGACAGTGCAGAGGAGGGAGGGAGTCCGCTGGCTTATTTTTAGCACTAGGAGGACGTGCACCTCTTGGTCGGGCACAGCGACTGTGGGCAGCCTGGGAGGTGCTGCGTGTGCAAGAAAATGATACAGCGAAGGCAGACTGTGCCCATGGGGCCGTGCCCTGATGTCACCCAAGGGTGTCCACTTAGAGCCCTTCCTCTGCAGCTGGCTCTCTCCACCATGGATGATGGGGCCCAGGTTTGCACGCCCTGCAGTGCCCGCTGGGTCCTCTGCCCAGTCCTTGGTGGACACACACACACCGCAGTACCCTCTCCCGCCTGCAGGGGGCAGCCTCCCTCCAGCGTGTCCTGGGCTGGCCCCCTGGGCTTGCTGCTTACCCAGGCAGGGCTGTGCGGGGAGCCGCCGCGGGGCAACAGCAGCTTGACGATGTCCAGGTTGTTGTGGTGGACAGCCACATGCAGCGGGGTCAGGCCATTCTGCAGGTACAGAGCAGACAGGAGGCAGTGGCCTTCACTCCGGCCATCCCCGTCCCTCCCCACAGCCCTCCTTTGTCTCCAATTCTGGTTACAAATGTGTCTGTGCGGCTGGCCTCCACCTGGAACCCAGTCCCAACCCAGCTCCACCTCTGCTTTCTGCATCCCCATGCTCCCATGAAGTCCACGGGGATGTGAGCAGGCAGCTCCGTAACTCCAGCAGCCGGCCGTGGCCCCAAGCAGCCCCTGCATACTGACCTAGACTGAGGGGCATACTCACTTTCCCAGCCGCGTTGGGGTGTGCGTCCCGCTCCAACAGCAGCTCGGCCACCCGAACCTTGCCATACTTGGCAGCCACGTGGAGAGGGGTAAATCCTTTCTGAGGACAAACACAGCCAGTCAGGACCCGTGGGAGCTGGAGCCCATGGGTGTCTGCCCCATCCCGGGTGCCCCGGTGGCCACAGCAAGATGAAGGCGGGCAGGCAGGCAGGACAGGCCCCACTGGCTGGAACTATACCTTGGTCATGCAGGCCTGTGACGCTTCCTTCTCTAGGAGGGCCAGAGCTGCCTCCACGTGGCCCTCGCGGGCGGCTACGTGCAAGGGCGTGTGGCCGGCTGTGGTGGCCAGGTTGGGGCTGGCGCCGTTCTCTAGCAGCAGCTGCACCATGCTGGTGTGGCCGATGCGGGCGGCGCAGTGAAGCGGGGTCTGGTCATCCTGTGGGGACACGCGGCCGAGGTGGCTTAGCCAGAAAGGGCCCCCGGCGGCCCTTGTGCTCCCCCAGATGACTGCCGACAGCTTTGGAGGGCTGGCCCAGGTCAAAGCCAGGGTCCAGGCACCCACCACCTGTTGCCTCCAGGAGGTGATGGGAAAGCATCAGCAGAAAGCTGGCATTAGAAGCCAAGGCTGGGGCCCAGATCCTGGCACCTCTGTTACGGGGCCTCACTGGAAGGAAGCACAGGAACTGTTGACGTCACTGAGCCCAACTGCTGGCTTTACCTGAGAAGGAACGTGGGGTCCCAGAGAGGTCCCCAGACCTCCTCCAGGCAGCACAGCTAATAGAAGGACGACCCTAGAACAGACTCAATCTCCGAGTTTGCTGTACGTGACTTGGTCCTGGCAGTTACCTTCAATATGGCCATCATTTCTGCTGACTGGCCCAAAGGCTCAGGCCTCCCATCTGTAGAATGGGTGTGACATCATCTTTCCCCAGGAGGCTTAGGGTGAGGGCCAAGCGGATGCTGCACACGGAGTGTCACACACCACAGTCCGGCATCCAGGGACTGCTGGTGAAGCGTGGGCAGCAGCCATGACTGTGCTGGTGGCCAGCCAGGCCCGCTCGCCTCCCACTTTGCTAAATCCCGACACGCAGTTCTGGGGCCGGTGCTGCGTGGAGAGTCCTGGCTCCTCCGCTCTGATCCAGCTCCCGATTGATGTGCCTGGGAAGGCGGCTGGTGTGGTCCAAGTGCCTGGGGCCCTGCCCATGTGGCAGACCTGGTGGACTCTGGCTCTCAAAATGAGCCTGGGACGGTTCTGGCTGTTGTGGGCCATTTGGGGAGTGGATAAAAGATTCTCTCTCTTTCTAACTCAATCTTTCAAAGAAATACATCTTAAAAACAAAAAAAGATGGGTCCAGCACTGTGGCATAGCAAGTAAAGCTACCAGCTACTGTGCCACCATCCCATATGGGCACTAGTTGGAGTCCTGGCTGTTTCACTTCTGATCCAGCTCATGGATGTAAGTGGAAAAACAGAGGAGGATGGCCCAGTGCTTGGGCCCCTGAACTCAGATGGGAGACTCAGAAGAAGCTGCAGGCTTCAGCCTGACCAAGCCCCAGCTGTTGCAGTCACTTAGGGAGTGAACCAATAAAGATCTCTCTCCCTGTCTCTCCTTCTCTTTTTCTCTGTAACTCTGTTTCTCAATAAATAAATACATAAATAAAATAAAACTAGGAAGATGCCTTATAGGTTGGTGCGATGACTCAACTGGCTAATCATCCATCTCGTGGTGCTGGAATCCCACATGGGCATCGATTCATGTCCCGCTGTTCCATTTCTGATCCAGTTCTCTGACTGTGGCCTGGGAGAGCAGTGGGGGATGGCCCAGAAGAAGCTCCAGGCTCTTTGTTTCAGCCTGGCTGAGCCCCAGTTGTTGCAATCACTTGGGAAGTGAACCCGTTGATTGGAGATCTTTCTCTGTCTCTCCTTCTCTCTGCAAATCTGCCTTTCCAATAAAAATCACTTAAAGAAAAGATGCCTTGTGGGACACTAATTTCTTTTTTTATTAAGCATTAATTTTTATTGGAAAGTCAGGTATACAGAGGAGGAGAGACAGAAGGATCTTCTGTCAGTTGATTCATTCCCCAAGAGGCTGCAACTTGCTGGAGCTCCAAATCTGGGAGCCAGGAGCCTCTTCCGGGTCTTCCACGCAGGTGCAGGGTCCCAAGGCTTTCCCAGGCCACAAGCAGGAAGCGAGATGGGAAGCGGGGCTGCCAGGAAGAACCTGGATATGGGATCCCAGCACATCCAAAGCGAGGACTTTAGCTACTAGGCCACCGCACTGGGCCCTGGGACACTAGTTTCCAGCACTGGAGAGCCTGGGAGCAAGTCGTAGCTCTGCTTTTGAACTCTGCTTCCTACACAGGCACATGTACCGAGGCAGCAGCTGGGGGCTCAGGAACATGGGCCCCCAACCCTAACTGGGATGCAGTTCCCAGGTACTGGCCCTAGTGGACACTTAGAACATGAACAAGCAATCCCAACATTCTGTCTCCTTTCTTCTTCTGAGCCTTTCATGTAAAAGGAAACTCAATAAAAAAAAAATTTTAAATATAAATACAGTTCCAATACAGAAAACCCTTATGGGGAGGGGTAGGGGTTGGCATTGTGGCAGGGTGGGCCAAGCAGCTGCTTGTAGGGTACAGGGTGGGCTGGCTTGAGTCCTGGCTGCTCCACTTTGGATCCAGCTCCTTGCAAAGGTGTCTGGGAAAGCAGCAGAACAGGGCCCAAGTCCTTGGGTTCCTGTCACCCGTGTGGGAGACCTGGATGGGGCTCCTGACTTCAGCCTGACCCAGTCCTGAATGTCAGGGCTATTTGGGGAGTGAATCAGCAGACAGAAAGTTGATCTCTCTCTCTCTGTGTCTCAAGTTTTGGCTTTTAAATAAATAAATAGTAACCCCCCTCCCCCCAAGCTCCTCTGGTTTCCTTAAAATTCCACAGGGGGGCAGTCTGCTCCTTCAGTGTAAGCGGCGCCATCAGTGGCGCCCTCAGCCCGCCCACTCCTGCCACTCCTGGCTGGGCCAGTGGGCTTCCCCTGCCACTTGCCCTGCTCACACCCCCACAGTCCCTCCCTCCCTGCCCCCCACAACCCACCTTGGCCTTGGCATTGACTTTGGCTTTGTTCTGGAGCAGGTATTTGGCCACCTCCGTGTGTCCTGCCCTGGCCGCCATGTGCAACGGGGTCTCCACTTTCTGCTCAGGGAAAGAATGGCAGGACCATCAACGTCCACAGCATCCCCTGTTGTCCCCCAGGACAGCTGTGCAGGGTGCCTGTCCACAAGGTGGTCTGGGCCAGCAAAGCTGCTCCATGACCCGCATACGCATGTGAGTGGGTACATGTGTCTATGCATGTATGTCCATGTATGCATGTGCAAACTCCTTCCAAATCCCAGAGCTCAGGAGCAGTCATGGCCATCAGTGCATTTCCAGGGAACGCAGAAGCTCCCAAATATTGTCCACAATCCAAAATGATTTACCAACACACACACAACGCAGAAGGCGTCTGTGAATAACCGGGTTCTCTCTGAGCTGCTCCCTGGGTCCTCCCATACCCCCAGGATCTCTGCCCTGGGTGCCCTGGCCCTGTCCTTACCACATTGGAGACATTGGGAGATGCTCCCCGCTGCAGGAGGTTCTTCACGATGGGCAGGTGGCCCATGAAGGAGGCCACGTGCAGCGGCGTCAGGCCGGACTGCAACAGACAGGGGTGAGGTGAGATGAGTGCCCCCTCCCCCGGGAGCAGGCACAGAGTGCTGCCTGGCCTCTGGATCCACCAGGTACACCTGCCTCAGCTTCCGGGGACTTCAAGGGTAGGAAGCGATCACTCCAGGTCACCCTGGGGACCACTCCTTTAAGCAATCCAGACACGTGCACTTGGGGAGTCCCACTAAGTGCCCAGCGAGGATGGCTGGAAGCACGACCCCAAGCACAGTCTCCCTACCTCGGTGACCGCATCAATGGAGGCTCCTGTCTTGAGCAGCAGCTCCATGACCCGGATGTGGTTCTTCTTGCAGGCGATGTGCAAGGGGGTAAAGCCATTCTGCAGGGGCACAAAGAGAAGGAGACGGACATGCAGGGGCTGACAGGCAGGCCAAGGACACCTGGAACCTCAGCCCTGTTCCGACAGGTCCCCTAGAACCAACAGAAGGCTCAGTCATGCTGGCCTCTGGCCACTGTCCTGTGAACCATACACCAAGTACATTCTGGCATGTGCTTGAGAGATTCTTGTTAAAAAATGTATCATGGGGCTGGGATCACGGCACAGTGGGTTAAACCTTGGCCTGAGCTGCCGGCATCTCATGTAAGCACCAATTGGAGTCTTTGTGGGCCACAACTATGTCCTTATACAGGACAAAACATTGCCCTTGATGCCAGCGGTCTAACTGGCTGAGGTTGATGCATGGCAATGATTGTTTCTGTGAATGAATGCTGTAGGGCACCTGCCCCCTCAGTGCGCCTCCTCAAGGGCTTGGTGTGGAGTGGGCAGCAGGGAGGGGAGCCAGGGCCACAGGAGCACCCCGCGGGGCCCCAAAGCAAGCCAGGCGGTGCTGGCCTTCAGCTCCGGGATCAGTGGTCACGTACGGTCAGAGTCCAGGCTCCCAGGCCCAAAGCTACCTCTGCCCTCCGCAGACTGTTGGCAGGCGTGGGAGGCAATGCCCAGCTGGATATGGCCAGCGTGGGGTGGCACACTCAACCCTTACTCCACCCAGGACCCTGTGTCACAGCAGCCCCCTTGGGCAACTGCTCCCACTGCCCATGGCGGGAGGCTGGCACACAGCCTCTGGCTTTCTCTCAACCTCAGTGCCCCACCAACCACTCTAGTGGCCTGCCACTCACCAGGGCTCTGGAGTTGGGTTTGGCACCTTTGTCCAAGAGGACCTTGGCCACCCGGTGGTGGCCGCAATGGGCTGCCACGTGGAGCGGGGTCAGGTGGTCCAGGGTGATGTCGTCAATCTCAGCGTTGTATTGCAATAGAAGTCGGACACAGTCGAGGTGGTCTCCCTGAGCCGCCATGTGGATTGGGGACAAGCCATTCTGGGAGAGCACAGGGGTGGGACAGAACGGGGCACTCAGGATGGTCCCACCACCCCTCATTGCTTCCTGCCGTGACGCTCACATTCGGCTCCCAAGTGGCTGAGCCAGACCTCAAGCCCTTTCCCGCCATGAACGCCCACAGCTTCCTGGAAGCCCTCCTGGATCAGCGCCTTCTCAGAAGCTCTCATTATTCAGACAGTGTCATTACAGCCTCCTTCTTGGAAGGGTGAGGGAGTGTGCCTTCTCCCCTCCTTTAGGACCACCTGGCAGCTTGCAGCTGTGCCTGCTGTCCCTTCAATGCCCCCCGGAGTCCCACCAGCATGCGTCTTGCTTTTTTTCTGCCATTTCTTAGCATGGTTTGGGCTGTGTGAACACTGGCCTTGCTTCTTGCCCCTCCACAGGAAGGTGCACAAAGGCATGGGATAAGCACATAGGAGCTGACTACCAGAGGCTCCAGGCTAAGGGGCCGGGTGGCACAGTGAGTAAAGCCGCCACAGGCCACCCCTGCATCCCATATGTGCTGTCAGTTCAAGTCCTCGCTGCTCCACCATTATTCTAGCTCCCTGCAGACATACCTGGGAAAGCAGCAAAAGATGGTCCCTGCTACCCAGATGGGAGACCTGAAAGAAGCTCCTGGCTCCTATCCCAGCCCTGACTGTTGTGGCCATTGTGGGAGGATGAATCACCGGATGGAAACCCTCTTTTTCTTTATAGCTTTGCCTTTCAAATCCATTAACTAATCTCAAAAAGTACAAAGCAGTGACAGGTGAATGGAGTCTCTTCCCCAAGCCTGAGATGGCTTGCGGAAGTTGGGTATTGCAGAAAAACTGTATGTAGGGGCCAACTTGTCTTGCACCAACACAAACTTGTCTTTTCATCTGCTTCTCCAGGAATAGCTCACTGCAGCACCTCTCTGTTCACTTATCAGGGGGGTTTACTCTTGCAGGTGTCTATTTATTTATTAGATTTGTTTATTTTACTTGAAAGTCAGAGAGAGATCTACCTGCTGGTTCACTCCCCAAATGACCACTAAGGTCAGAGCTGAGCTGATCCGCAGCCATGAGCCAGGAGCTTCTTTCAGGTCTCCCATGTTGGTGCAGGGTCCCAAACGCTTGGGCCATCCTCTGCTGCTTTCCCAGACACATTGGCAGGGAGCTGGAAGGGAAGTGGAGCAGCCGGGACACGAGTAGGTACCCATATGGGATTGCAGTTGCCATAGGTGGGTTAGTCTGCTATGTCATGGTGCCGGCTGTTTGTGGGTACTTTGGAAAACATGTCTTGAGCAGTTACCCTAAACAGGCCTAGCCTAGAGGGGTGGGTTTCTCCAAACGATGAAACAGGGGTGCAGGGCATAGGACAGACACATCCTGTCAGAATCATGTGGTGTGCCAGCCGTGGTTGGAGGCTGTCTCTGCCTGGCTGCTGTGGCCTTTTGGGGATGGAAGGGGATGAAAGACGGATGTGTGTGTGTGTGTGTGTGTGTGTGTGTGTGACTCTTTGTCTCTAGCTTTCAAATAAATAATAAATAAATCTTAAAATACAATCACACAGCCACTGCCAGGGAGGAGGGTGAGGGCAGCACACAGCGACCTGCAGCGGGGTGGCCCTGGGAGACTCTGGCCTCTGAAGGGGCTAGACAAGACCTCTCCTTCTGTCCCTAAGGGCTTCACTGCACTGGGGCTAGGCCCTGAGGTCTTCCCACAGCCCTGCATTCCTGCCTCTTTGGAGTGAGGAGAGAGCAGCAGCCGGTCACTCCAGCCACCAGCACCTGCACCTGCGCCCACCGTGGCACCTGGCCCACGGTTGTGAGCTGATGTCCTGCCTGCTGCATCCTGTTAAACTGTCAGATCCCGAGAGGCTTCAGACCTATCTCAGGGAGGCCACGCTGGCCTCGATCTAGATTGGAATTAGAAGCCTCCCCGGGGCCTCTTCTTGCGCGAGCAAGCGTGGTCCTAGCTCCCCTGGCGGTGGCAGAGCTGGAGCTGACCTAGATCCACCCCTCTCCTCCCGCTGGCTAGTCCGTGGTGGGAGGGGATGCAGGCTCGGGGAGGACACACACCTTGGTTTTGGCTTGGATGGGCGCCCCGTGGTCCAGCAGAATCTCGGAGATGCGGACGTGCCCGTTCCGAGCTGCACAGTGGAGAGGTGTCAATTCGTCCTTGAAAAGACAGAGCCATGGACACGAGGCCCCGAGGGCGGCTGTCAGACGCTGTGTGCGGCATGGACAAGCACGGACACACGCGCGCTCCGGGATGCCAGCTCAGCCAAGATCCCGCCACAGCCCTGGCCCCGGGGGCCACCTGCCACCGGGGAGCTCACTGACACCCACCTTGGTCCTGGTTTCTATCTGGGCCCCGCGGTCCAGCAGAAGCCGCACCATGATCACGTTCCCCCTGCGAGAGGCGATGTGCAGTGGCGTGATGCCGTTCTGCAGAGGGTAGGGGGAGAAGAGCAAGGGTGAGATGAAGCATCCGGCCGTGGTCCCCTCTCACCTCTGTCCCATCCTGCTGTTCTCTTCTGAGACCACCCTCCCAACAGTGAGCTGGCCAAGGGGATACTGGGGCTGCTTCCAGACCCCCGCGGCAGGTGCACAGGTAGGGGCGGAGGTTACCTGTGGTGTGAAGTTGACGCTGGCCCCCCTATTGAGGAGTAGTTGGGCCACGTTGAGGTTCTCGTAGTGGGCTGCGATGTGCAGGGGGGTGAATCCCGTCTGGACAGGGAGAGGGCAGCGGTCAGACATGACAGCTCTGAGCCCACTCAGGGTGGGGGAGGGTTACCAGGACCCCACAAAGGCAGTGGCATCCGCCGCCAGGGCCCAGGGCTCCCAGTGACACCAACAAGCCCCAGACTCCAAGGGTCGTTCAGGGACAGACTGAATGAAGGAATGAATGACCCTCCCTGCAGTCCACAGTGTTCATCTGAGAGACTGTTGTCCCACCCCTGCTTGATAATCGTTCTGTTCCAGGGCCTCCACCTGACCCCAAGCCAGTTCCCCAGGAGCTGGGTGCAGTGGGGGCTGTGAGAGTGACAGTGCACGGGGCGCCCCACTGGGGATAGCTTGGCCACAGCAGGGTCCTGACACATCAGCTCCAGGGGGCCGTGTGTCCAGCTGACCTCTGCTCTGCTCCACAACTTTGTCTCTTCCTCTCAGTCACTCCTTTTACCCCAGGGGGAGCAGGCAAGGGGCAGAAAGTGTCCAGAAGCCCCTGAATTCCCTTTGCACTCTGCCCAGAGGCCCCCAAGGCCTGGAGCGGTCCCGGAGACAGGCTGGGACTTCAATGGGCACAGAAGACCACTCCAAGGCTCGCTCTCTGGCGCCTGCCTAGACACCCTGCGCCAGCGACCTCTCCTCCCGTCTCCGAGCTCCGCCCCTCCCTCTCCGGACCCCGCCCCTCTGGGCCCCGGCACCTTGGAGAGCACGTCGGGGTTGGGGTCGTTCTGCAGCAGCACCGCGGCCGTGCGGGTGTCGTCGTTCCGGGCAGCGATGTGCAGGGCAGGCAGGCGCACCTTGCCTTTGGTGCCGTAGTTGATGAGGTGGGCCACCACGTTCTCGTGGCCCTGCTGCAGCGCCACGGCCAGCGGGGTGAAGCCGTCCTGGTGAAGGGAGGGGAAGCCCAGCTCACCAAGCACTTCCCGCCAGTTCCTGCCCTCTGCAGTCCTCCCCTGCAGCCACCGCCTCCCAGAAGCCCTCCTTTCTGCAATGACTTCTCAGCTTGCTGTGGCTGGTCCTTGGGAGCCCCTCGCCTCACTCCCCCAGTCATCGAATGGTTCATTCCTCGAGCACAGCCCGCAAGACCCTTCCCCCAGGTGGTTCCTTACTTCTGTGGCCACATTCTGGTTAGCTCCGTTATCCAGCAGGAACTTCACCACTTCCAAGTGGTTCTCTTGAGCGGCCATGTAGAGGGGGGTGAAGCCTTTCTGTGGACAAGGAAGGGAATTCTTGAGAGGCGGAGATGAGCTTGGGCCGGAATCTGTCCCCTACCACCCCACCCCTCCCTGTCCTGGCTTCACCCAGCCCCAGGCACTAGGGAAACTTCTCGTCATGGCATGCTGGCCTGGCCAGAGGGATGGGCCAAGGGGAGGGGGCCGCTTTCCATGGTGTCCACTCTGTCCTCACACCATACCATGATGCCTCTTCCTCACTGTCCCAGGCGCGCGCACGCACACACACCCACACCCACACACACACACACACACACACACACACTTTCTCTCCCTAAGTAAACCCAAACAAAGTCCAGGCTTTGGCTCATCCACCCCATGCCCATGGGGCTTGCAATCACGCCACTGCATCACACTTAGAACATGCAGTCTATGCAGGGAGAGGGCCGGGTGCCCCATGCTTGTTCTGCAGACACGATGTCAGCAAACCCACAGGGGGTCTCAGCAGGTGCATTGGCACAGTGGCCGGCACACCCTCCCGAGCTCGGGGCAGATACAGCAACCAGTATGGTGACTGCGCAGCCAGTGAAGACGACAGGGCTGCCCATATGGTGACTGCACAGTGAGTGAAGATGATCGGGCTGCCCGTTACCTGCGACTGTGCGTTGACGTTGGCGCCATAGTTGACGAGCTCCCGGACCACCTCGTCCTGACCCGCCAGGGCAGCGATGTGCAGGGCCGTGTTCCCTTTCTGAAACACATGTGGGAAGAAGGAGATAGCAGGTGGCTCACTCAGCCATCAAAAAGGCTTTGGGCACCAGGAGCTCGTGGAGCTACAGAGTCCAAGTTCCAGCTGTTCTGCTTCCCAGCCAGCTCCTTGCTGATGCACCTTGGGAAAGCAGTGGAGGATGGCCCAAGTCCTTGGGACTCTGCACTCACGTGGGAGACCCAGAAAAAGCTCCCGGCTCCTGGCTTCTGCCTGGCTCAGCCTTGGCCAATGCAACCATTTCCAGAGTGAATCCATAGATACAAGATCTCTTCCTGTTTCTCCCTCTCTCTGAAATTGTGCCTTTCATATAAATAAATATTCAAACAAAAATAAAAGTGTGTGCGTTCAGGGGATCTTCTTTATGGCTCAGAGGGCTGGAGGCACGTGTGTGTGTGTGTGTGTGTGTGTGTATGTGTGTGTGAGCCATCGCACGGCCTGAAGCAGCTGTGTAATGACCCACAGCTGACCACACTGAATGTGCTGTGGGCAAACCTCTGCAAGGGTCCCCAGGTAAGCCAGGCAGCTGTGCACTTCCGACTCCTCTAGGCCCTAACTGTGCAAAGCCAGGAGGGAGCCCTCCCATAGCCTGGAGCCTACACGTCCCCCGCACTCAGCCCGCACCCAAAGCGCACCAAGGCAATGACGGAGTCAGAGGGTGAACCGGACACCAGCCAGAAAAGGAAAGTGTGAACACAACAGAGGGAAAACACACAGAACACCATCTGGCAATGGAGAACACAAAGACTGTGTGCAATATCAACATCAGAGATACCGCCAGCAAGGGCTCACCAAATAAGAGAGCAGAGAAACGTCAGAGATTGAGCACTGGAAGGCAGTGAGGTAGTTTTAAACTTGGCAGGGGCTGGTGTGGTGGTATAGTGTGTTAAGCCAACACCTGTGATGCTGGCATCTCATGTGAGTGCTGGTTCAGGGCCCAGCCCCCTGCGAATGCACCCAGGAAAGCAGAGGAAGATGACCCAAGTGTTTGGGTCCCTGCCCCCTTTTGGGAGGCTCAGATAAAGCTCCAGGATCCTGGCTCTGGACTGGTCAGCTCTGGCGTTTGAGGTCATTTGGGGAGTGGATCAGTGAATAGAGAATCTCTGTGTAACTCTGCCTTTCAGACATAAACGACATAACTCTTTTCCGTTTGTGTTTTAAGAAAAGGCTCCACTAGAAGTAAGGACCAATAACGGAGACCAAGGCTCGATGCACACTTTCTTGGGATGCTGTACATGCAGGACCGTCAACACTGCCCGTTTCTAGCCCACTGGCCTCCCTGCAGTGGGTGTGTATGCTGGGCGGGCCAGGGACACAGGTCCCACGGGAGCTTCTGTGGGTCAGGTGAGTAGGAGAAAGGCAGTTACCAGCAGGTCCTGTGTGTCTGAGCTGAGCAGCCACTCAAACGACAGAGGACAGAGACCACACGGGAGAGCCACTACACCGTGCTGAGCCGGTGAGGATTCCTCTTGTCCTGAGTCCTTAAATGACCCGGCACTCGCTCGAGTCCAAGGCACCTGCCGTGCCAGGTGAATGTGTGTGGGGGAGAGCTGGCACTCGGAGCTCCCTGTGATGTGTTCCTGTCACCTTGTTCAGGAGGTAGCATATCGTGGCCACACCCCCATAGGCCACATGCGTCACCATGCCTGATATGGGGGCGAGGAGGACCCTGCAAAAGAGCTATGGGGTTCCCTGGGCGGTGCACACACACATGTGCAGGTACACACACACACACACAGAGCATACAGGAACTAGCATGGAGTGGGCGAGTGCTGTCTGCCCCCACTGTGAGGGAACTTGGCAGGAAGCTAATGTCTGCCTTTTGATCCACAAATGAAGGAATGTCTCCATTTCCAGGGACTCACAGAAGGCAGGCTGCGTGGACACCGGCTGAGAAAATACAAGTGGGGAGGGGGAACAGATAGACTTCCCACCAAGACAGGGATGTCGTCTGTGTTCCATGAAGCACGCAGGAGAGAACACACTGGCTTATGCAGACACTCTTTCTCAGCACAGCTTAGCCACCTGGACAGGTAGGTTTGGGGATCCCCCACACATTTTCCAAATAGCTCTCATACTTGGAAGATTCACTGCAAATCCCAAGTCTCTCTGCCTTCCCTTTAAACCATGGCCTCCATGTCACCTCCCCCTCTGCTAACTCCATGTGGCAACCTGCAGCCATGCTGGCTGGCTAAGAAAACACCCATGAATAATAATAATAATAAAAAGACACATCAAAAGCATTCACTTGCAATGTAATGACCCAAAGGCAGGAAGCTGGGAGTGGTGGCCCGCTATGGTGCCACAGAGCCAGCAGGTGGCAGGCACCACATCCGGGCAGTGCTACAAGCAGGCACGGTGTGGGAATGTTGGCTCACAATACAAACAGTTTCTTCCACAACTGTTTGGAGAACTGGGGAGGTACACAAAGCCGGGACCCCTAGGCCTATGGACCACTGTGGCCACGAATGTGGTGCCTGTGAATTGTCTCGGAAGGGCTTAGGGGGATGTGTGGGAACACTGAGGAAGCACATTGCAGATGAAGAATGACTTCTGGGGGACTTCCATGGACCAGCCCACTGTAACTGAAGGTAACTGAAGGGGCTGAGACGAGGAGGCTTGGAGGCAGGAGGCTGGAGGCTATGTCTGGGTCACCAGGACACCTGCCCATGTGGGAGAACTGGGCTGAGAAGGTGGCATCGCTCACAGACCACTGGCACACATGAAAGGGCTGGGGCATTGCCTGGCAGCACTGGGCCACAGTACCTATGAGTGAGTGTCGGGGCAAGGGGTGGGTCATGTTAGGCTGGGCCATGACACTAACCATCACTGAGCGAGAGAACTGTGTCTGGGGACAGATTCTGTGAGGAATGCAGGCTTACCCCTGAGGGGGCTGCAATACCTGTTGGTTTGCACAAGCTAGGGGTGGTGAAGGCCGAGCTAAGCATGACCACAGAACTCACTGACTCTTATGGAAACTGGGGTTAAGAATAGGCTGGTTTGATCCAAGTTGTAGCATCTGCAAGAGTACCCAAGAATTGGGTATGGGGGCAGGCAGGAACACAGCATCCACCAGCACTCACAAAGGCGAGATTGGAGAGTGGACTGCCGAGCACGGCCTTAACATCCACTGACATGCATGAGATCTGGGTCTGGGAGGGGGCCTGGTAGAGGAACTTGGGGAACTTCCCTGGTGGGCTGTAGCTACCGCTGATGAACAGGAGAGTCAGGGCTGGGTGTAGGCCAGACCAGGCAGGGCTGCTCCACTTGTTGGCACATGTGGGGGCTGTCTTGGGGGACAAACCAGGTAAGTCCAGGCCAAGTTATAGCACACACTGACATGCGTTGGAGTCAGGACAGGGTGTGGACCATGCTGGGTGAGATTTTTGTATTCGTCTGAATGCATGAGGGCAGGGATGGGGGCAGATTGCACATGGCTAGGTGGTAGCATCCATCAGTGACAGTTGGGCCTGGGGGCAGGCTGGACCATGTCAGCCTGCAGAATCTAATGGCAATAGTCAAGACAGGGAATGGGCTATGCCAAGTTGGGTCTGAGCAACCACCAGCACGTGTAAGATTTGTGGCTGGAAACAGGCCTAGTCGGGGAGCTAAGGGGACTTCCCTGCTGGGTTGTGATTCCCGCTAGTGAGCGCTAGAGCCAGAATGGGGGCAGTGAACTGGGCTGGACATGACGTCAATGTCCCTTGGCACGGATATGGACTGGGGTGTGTCAGACTGGGCTAGGCTCCAGAACTCACTGCTGCTTGCAAGAGCCAGGGTGGGTATAGGACAGACTGGGTTAAGTCTCGGCACCCACTGAGCCATGTGAGAACTGGGTCTGGGGGTAGACCAGGCAGAGCTGGGCTGTAGTACCCAATGATAAGAGCTGGAATGGGTGTGGGTCAGTTGGGCAAGGTTGCTGCTTGCCAGGACAGAGGCAGATCAAGTCAGCCTTGGCCAAGCACCCACCAGTGTGCGTGAAACCTATGACTGGGTGGTGACCTGATAGAGGAGCTTGCCGAAGTCTATAAGGATGCAGTTCTCATTGGTGAGCTCAAAAACCAAGGCCAGGAGCAGCCCAGGCCAGCTCAGGTTACAATACCCCATGGCATACATGTTGGTCAGGTCTGGGGGCATCCTGGTCTGGGCCAGATCATAGCACCCACTGGCAGATGCGAGAACCAGGACAGGGTACAGGACATGTTGGACTGGGCCACAACACCAGCCAGTTCATATTAGGGCCAGGACTGGGTAGATTGACTAGGCTGGGGACAGGTTGGGCTAAACCTGGCTTTAATACCTGCCTGCGAATGCCAAGGTGAGGCAGGCCATACCAGACTGGGCCATGGCACCCTCTCACACATGCAAGACCCTGGGGTGGGGGAAGATGAGCCTGGTGGGGGGTTAGTGAGAACTCCCCTGTTGGACCTCTGCTCCCGCTGGGAGAACTGGAACTTGGGGCAGATCAGGCTGGGTAGGGCTACAAAGCCACTGGCCTGCATGTGAGTTGGGTTAGGGGGAGAGCCAGGCTAGACATACATGAGCCAGAGTAAGTGCAGGCTAGTTGGGCTTTGTCACAGCATCAGCCAGTAAGTGCCAGGGCTTGGGGCAAGTCCTATCAGGCTGGACCACAGTACCACCTGGAAAGTGCAAAATCCGGGGCTGGGAGCAGCCCCAGTAGAGAAATAGTGGGCACACCTCTGAAGGGCTGCAGCTGCCACCAGTGGGCATGGACAACCAGAGCTGGGGGTGGGCCTGGATGGACAGGTGGTAGCACAAGGCACCTGCTGGTATATGTTGGGCTGGATAGCGGGGTAAGTCGGGCTGAACTAGGCTGCAGCACTCATTGACGTATACAAGAGCCAAATGGGATGCAGGATAGATTGGATTAGTCTGTTGCATATACTGGCATTCACAGGAATCAGGGCTGGGGGCAGATGTGGTGGGAGCCATTGGAGGTCACTCTAACTGGGCTGCAGTTCCCACTGGTGTGTGTGAGGTTTGAGTGTGTGGTGGGCAGGGTTGGGTTGGGTTGGACTGTAGTATCTGTTGGTTTGTGTATGTGATGGGCTGAGGACAGAATTGACTGGGCAATGGAATCCACCACTGTGGCTGTAGACTGAAGTGGATGATGGAATGAGCCAGATCCCGCACTGGCTGGCACACACAGGAGCCAGGTCTGGGGTCACCTCAGGCAGAGTTTTGTTGGGGACCCTCCCAACTAGGCCGCTGGACTCAAAACTCCAATCATGGGAAAAATCACAAGTTCTGTGGCCTGACTGTGGAGGGCACATGTCAGAACTTGACCTCCTCAGTTGCTGAAGCTGGGGCAGTGGAGAGCATTTCCAGCTACACATGGGAGACGTGACAGCTCATTGAGGCCTCAGAGGACGTCTAGTACCATGGTAGAGGATGGAGGGCAGAACACATTGGACAACTCTCCTGGCCAATCTACGACAGCAAGTATCTGGACAAATGGAGATTCTGAGGTGGACTATGTCAGTCAATGGACATCGGAGGAATTTCCTCAATCTTGAGGCAACAAAACCAACAGCATCTCAGAACTATCAAAAGCACTTGAGCATTACACTTGGAATTCCTGGTTTCAGCCTGGTTCGGCTCTGCCCACTGTGGTTATCTGGGAGAACGAATCAGCAATGGAAGATCTCCGTCTCTCTTGCCTTTCCTCTCTGTAATTCTGCCTTTTAAAATAAGTAAATCTTTTTTAAAAAACGAAAGGTCTGTTGTTTGGGACTGAAATGGAAACTGTGTGTGAGACCAGGTGGAGCAAGTCACAAATGGAGAACAGGGGGCTGGGAAACTCGAGAGATGAGAAAGCAAGACTCGGAACCCAGGGCCATCCCTGGAGCGCAGCGGCCTGGGATGCCCCCTGTGACCCTGGCATCCCATATCAGAGCACTGCTTGGCATCCTGGCTGCTCTGCTTCTGATTCAGCTTCCTGCTGGTGCACCTGGGGAAAGCAGAGGAGGATGGCCCAGGTGCTTGAGTCCCTGCAGGCTTGGATGGAGTTCTGGGGTCCCAGCTCCAGACTAAGCTAGCACCAGCTGCTGAGGGTGTTTGAGAAAATGAACCAGGGAAAGAGGACCTCTCTGTGTTTCTTCTTCACTCTCTTTTGAATAAATATGCAAATCTTTTGTTTAAAAAGTAAAAAAAAAAAAATCACGGACTGATACTAGAATCAATATGGGAGCTGGTGCTTTTGGTTTACTTTCATTCCTAAATGCCAGCTGCACCCTGCTTAAAGTGTAAGACAAGACACGAAACTTACTTTACAGTACACAAACACATGTGTGTTCTCACTGCAGTGTTTGGGAATTTGGCACGATGTGTAATGGGGCCCCACCACTGATGGCACACACCACCTGTCAGGTTAATTCACAGTGGACAAGTCATGGAAATGGAGTTTCTGCACCCTGCCCTTTCTCCCTCCTCTCGCACCATTCAAGTTAACTGAAGGTGGGAAAGTGCACCCTGCCCCTCCTGCCTTCCATACCATTCAGAACAACTGACAATGTGGAAATCACTCAGTGCACCTGGCCCCTCCCGCCTCCTGTTGTGCTATGTTAGGTTAGTTAACTATAGGAAAACTTTGGGCTCTGGTAACTCCCTTCCTGCCTGAAACCTTGTTTGTGCTGTATGGCTCTCAATCTGATTGGAGGATGAGAGCTTAAAAGCCCGACTTAAGTGGCTTGGCATAGTGGCTCCTGGAGTGTAACGGGAGCCGCTGGCACCAAGCTTGGGAAATAGACTCCTTCTAACATCCTGCTCTTGGGTCCAGTGTGATGTCTCTCTCATACTCCACAGCAGATGTAATAACATGAGGCATGTGGATGAGATGTGTGTGGTGTGTGTTTGCACCTGTGCTCCTATCTTCTGCAGCTTCAACCTGCAGGTCCCTCCCTGTGGGAGATTGTCCCTGGATCTCTGTCTGCTTAGCTCATGTGGGAGGCCATAGGCACACGGCACACCACGTCCCCAGGGGATCCCCTGACAGGAGTCCAGGCTAACTGAGACCCCAACATGGCCTGTTCCCTGGGCAGGCAGCAAGAGCGATGGGCTGCATTCCCCTCTCTCTTCTCTGCCTCTTTAATGAACTGTGCTAGGACTTCCTAGGTAAACAACTCTAGGAAGTCACATGTTACATTCATCCTGTTTTCCAGCAGGTAACCAGTCTGCCCTGAGACATAACTTCCTATGCTTTCTGACCTTGAACTTCATTGGAGGGTCCAGAGAGATAGACGTATCTGTTAGCCAGTCACAATGCTGTTGTGTGATGTAAGTACTGTCAGGACCACCTTCTGCCGGCTCCCCCTTTCCTACCCTATGTATGCTTGTGACTTCTCTTAAATAAACGGACATCCCTCACCGCCAGTCTGTCTCCAGTGTTTCTACTGCAGAGGGGCACTGTTGCCTCACCCTCTGGTGGTCTTGGGGACCACTGGACAGAAGACCCCCTGGCACATGCGCCTTCTGCCTCAGCACCCCAGTGCTGTCACTGCATCCATTCTACAGCTGGGAAACCCAAGTCCTCCTGGCAGCTGTGGCCCTGGCCATAGGATCCAACCAGAGCCTGCTGCCACAGACGCAGGGAGCCATGGTTGTAGACTGTAATCCTGAGATGAGAAGACACCACAGGCTCATGAAACTTTCTGGAAAAGCAGTCTTTTTTCCCCCTATTTTCTCAATGAACTAGGAGGTGGTGGCTGGAAGGCCAGGTGTGGTTTTTCTCTCACGGGGGACCCGGGACGAGCTGCGAGGGCCCGCAGCCTACCTTGGTCGTCGTCTCCAGAATGATCTCTTTGTGCAGCAACTCGACTACCATCTTCACATGGCCTTCTTTGGAAGCCAGGTGCAGGCCGTTGAGCCCATTCTGTGGAGAGTGAGACACAGGGACAGTGAGTGGGAGAGAAAGCTCCCTACGAGGTGTGGCAGGAGGAGGGGTGCATGAAGGAGACCCATGGAGCAGCAGGTGTCAGGCTGGCAGGGAGGGGAAGTGCTTCCGCACCCACGAACAGCCCAGACATTCTGAGCTGGGAGGCCTCTGACTTCCCACTCAATGAAAACAATACAGGAACAGGTATTTAGCCTAGCAGCCAAGACACCTCATTCTACTTCTAAGGTCATGGGTTCAATTTCTACCTCCAGCTTTTCCAGCTTCCTGCCAATGTAGACCCTGGGAGGCAGTGATGGTCAAGGTGGTGGCGTCCTTGCCACCCACATGCTTGGTTCCCTGCCACCCGCATGGAAGAGCTGGAGTGAGGGTGTTTTTGGCCTCAGCTTGGCCCAGCTCTGGAGAATAAGGGCAGACAGGTCTCTCTCTCAAATAAATAAGTAAATGAATTTTAAATGGCATATAGCTTCCACCCTCTGGTGAATTTTCACAGCAAAGAACAGGAAAAGCAAAGCAGTCACAGCTTGTGAACTTGGGTGGAGATGGATCCCCCCCTTGCACATGGTAGTAAGATGACATACACTGAAACAAGGTCACACGTCAACACCACTGTGTCACCATGCCCCCTCACAGCAGTGTCATGCGGCACTGTTAGCTCCTCTGCTGTCCCGCCAGCTCAGAGGCGGCCACAGAAGACCAGCCCTTGTTCTGCTGTCCCGCCAGCTCAGAGGCGGCCACAGAAGACCAGCCCTTGTTCTGCTGTCCCGCCAGCTCAGAGGTGGCCACGGAAGACCAGCCCTTGTTCTGCTGTCCCGCCAGCTCAGAGGTGGCCACGGAAGACCAGCCCTTGCTCTGCTGTCCCACCGGCTCAGAGGTAGCCACGGAAGACCAGCCCTTGCTCTGCTGTCCCACAGCTCAGAGGCAGCCATGGAAGACCAGCCCTTGTTGTGCTGTCCTACTGACTTAGAGGCGGCCATGGAAGATCAGCCCTTGAGTTTCAGGAATGCAAACACATATTCCATGCTCATGAAAGCAGAGTCCTCTGTGACCACACCCAGTTGGGCCTCCATCCTCTCTCACATCCTAGATGCCCCAGCCATACTGTGAGAGGCCCCGAGAACTTCCAGAAAATGCTTTAAGCCACTGACACTTCTCATAATGCAAGGGAGTGCAAGGACATTGCCGCCAACTGGCAGAAGGTGTGTCAGCTCTGCATAGGGACCCAGCTCTTAAGGGGCCAGCTGAGTGGCCAGCGGCCTCTGCCTTCCATCGTGTTCCCCTCCTTCCCCTGGCTAACAGAGACCATCCCCACCAATAAGAGGAGGACCCTCTGGTTTTTCTATCCCCTAATATCTTTGCAGGCTATCCCCCCCCCCCCATCCCCACCTGGTTCTGGAAATTCTGATTTCTTCTGTGTTCTCAAGAGATGCCCATCAAACTACAGATGCAACTGCTGTGCCTTGACTTGTTTACAGTCAGGTGGCCTTGCCTTGGCCAGTTGGGGGAAAGCCGCCCGGAAATAAGGAGGACAGGGTGGAAGGTGTGTGGACAGGGCACCTACAAGGGGACTTCAAAATACTCCTGAAGGTGCTGATGCCCTGTATGGGCACCAGTTCAAGCCCTGGCTCCTTTACTTCTGACCCAGGTCTCTGCTGGTGCATCTGGGAAAGCAGTGAAAGACGGCCCAAGTATAGTGGACCTCAGCCACCCAGGTGTGACAGCTGGATGAAGCTCCTGGCTCCTGGCTTTTGCCTGGCCCATCACGCTCATTGTGGCCATTTGGGGAGTGAACCAAGAGATGGAAGACCTCTTTGTCTCTTCTTCCCTCTGCAACTCTGCCTTTCAAGCAAAGCAAATAAAACTTTTCAAGAAAAAGTTTCTGGGAATTGCAATGACAAGATAAGCTTGTTTGGTGCACCCCCCCCAAGAGGTCCCTGCATAATATTTCCACAATGCTCAATTTTCCTCGAACTTCCTTGAGAACCCCGCCCCTTGCATATTAGGTAAAACCTTGGGGGGGTCAGAGAAAGGAGAATAGGTGCAAGCTGGACCTCTTTAGAGCAGGCCCACCCTGCACCCCAGAACACCCCTATTTAGAGCAGGCCCACCCTGCACCCCAGAGCCTGGCCAGGGTGTGTGCTGGTTAGGACAGGCAGTGGTGACGGGAGAGGGCACATGCATGAACTACTTGCCCCTGCAAAAGCCTGAGAAATCACCGTGAAATTCCTTCCACTTGCAGCTGGTGAGTCAACTCCAAGCAGCTTGCAGTTTTCCAAGGAAAGGTGGGTATGGATGAGCTAATCAGATGAAGGATAGGGTTGAGCCAGTTTTGATCATAGAGAGCCAGGGAGGGCTTGGAAGTGGGACAGCCTGGGGTGAGGAACTAAATCCCAGGCCATTCAGAAGAACAGGGGCGGGGGTGTGGTAGAAAGGAAGTAATGCCTTCCAGCTCAGTTTGCAAGCCACAGATTCCTCGGGAGTGTGTCCCAGGGTGTTGGGGAGAGCAGGTGCCCCATGATCTGCACTTGCAGCTTTGCCCCCTGCTTGGGGCACAGGCTGTGGGGCACAGATGATGGGGCCCGAGCTGTGCTACAGGCTCCTCCTCAAGCTCCCGTACTGAGATTGAGAGCAGATAACAAACACCATGACTGCTAGCCACGGGAGTGGCTGCCGTGGCCTCATGCTGACCCATGGACGCTTGCTTGCTGTGCTGATCGCGGCTCAACTTTGCGGGGAGGGATAGGGAGGTGGAAGCTATGCACTCCAGAGGAAACTGAGTCTGGAGCTGTCCAGCTGTCAGGGATCCAAGGAGCTGGGCCATTTTTCACTGCTCTCCCTCCTTGGGCACATTAGCAAGGTGCTGGATTGGAAGTGGAGCAGCTGGGACATGAAGTGGCAGCCATGTGGAATGTTGGCACTACAGGCAGATCCTTCACATGGGGTGCCACAACAGTGTCCCCAAGGCACTCTTGTGTCTGTCTTTCTTTCTTTTCTTTCTTTCTTTCTTTCTTTCTTTCTTTCTTTCTTTCTTTCTTTCTTTTTTTCTTTCTTTCTTTCTTTCTTTCTTTCTTTCTTTCTTTCTTTCTTATCAATGATGAAACAATCTTTCTCTTTTAAGATTTTTTTTTTTAATTGGAAAGTCAGATATACAGAGAGGAGGAGAGACAGAGAAGAATATTTCCCTTCCACTGATTTACTCCTCAAGTGGCTGCAACAGCCGGTCTGAGCCGATCCAAAGCCAAGAACCTGGGTCTCCCACGCGGGTGCAGGGTCCCAAGGCTCTGGGCTGTCCTCTACTGTTTTCCTAGGCCGCAAGCAGGGAGCTAGATGCAAAAGTGTGCCCACCAAGACATGAACCAGTGCCTATATGGGATCCCAGGCACGCAAGACAAGGACTTTAGCCACTGTGTCAGGGCCTCCTTTCTCTTTTTTGGTCACCTAAGAAGCTTAGCGTTAGCACGTGCTGCTCGTGGCCTCTGCTGTGGTCTTGAAGTTCTGCCAGCTGCTTGACTCATGGGCAGCCTCCCATTCTTGGTCACAGGGTGTCCTGCAACACGCTTTGGCCCCAGTGTGTGCCAGGGGTGAGTGTCACCAGCACCCTGCAGGCAAACACAAGCACACAAAAAGACATACAAGACCATGCAGAAAGTGCCTGGAGTGGCTCAACTCTGGCCACTGCGGCTATCTGGTGAGCAAACCAGAAGATGGAAGATTGCCCTTTAGCTTGTCTCTTTGACTTTCAATAAATAGAGAAGTCTTAGAAAAAGCCTTCCTGCCCAGCACATCCACCTGGAGCTTCTCCTGGGCCTCTGAGAAAGTGTGTCTGGGGGTCGGGGTGGGAGGGAGGTAGACAGCAGCTGGGTTAGGCACATATGTCCCATTTGGCCTGAGCGATTACATTTGGAGTATGTTGTGGTCCTGCCCGTCAAAAGTTCCAGACACTTGATCTTGACCAACCGTCCTGCTATTTGGTGGCTCTGATTACCCCGTGTACAGGAATTGATCTCCCAATATATGAATCTGGTGCACATATACCAGAAGGGTGGCTCTGTGCCCCTCTGTTTCTGCAAAGGGCAAGACCACCCCGTGGAGGACACCTGCCTCTGCCCTCAGCCCTGGTCCTGGCAACCAGGCCAGGCAGCCCAAGCCATGCCCACCCCTTACCCAGCTGCCCCTTCAAGATGCCTGTGCCTTTCCTGGGGCCACACACTCTTCTCCGGGGACTCAGGTGACCTCATTTAACCCTGGGGACCACAAGAAGGTCACGTGGAAAATGCAACAAAGGCAAGGTGACTCTGGTGCTGGAGATTTCGGAGGCTGAGTCATATTTTGTCCAGATCACATTTTCCCCCCTAGAACTTCCCAGACACCTCATTTGCATGGATTTCGAACGTTCTAACATCAAAGTAAAGTTTGCATTCTAGTTTTGTTTTCAATAAGCCTTTAAAAAAAAAAAAAAAAAGAGGGCCCCGCGCGGTGGCGCAAGTGGTTAAAGGTCCTCGCCTTGCACGCCCGGGATCCCATATGGGCGCCGGTTCTAATCCCGGCAGCCCCGCTTCCCTTCCAGCTCCCTGCCTGTGGCCTGGGAAAGCAGTCGAGGACGGCCCAAAGCTTTGGGAACCTGCACCCGCGTGGGAGACCCGGAAGAGGCTCCTGGCTTCGGATCGGCATAGTATCGACCCGTTGCGCTCACTTGGGGAGTGAATCATCGGACGGAAGATCTTCCTCTCTGTCTCTCCTCTCTGTATATCCGCCTTTCTAAAAAAAAAAAAAAAAAAAAAAACTTCATAAAAAAGAAAGATTTATTTGAAAGTTGGAGTTACAAACAGATCTCCCCAAATGGTCTAGCCTGAAGCTAAAAGCTTCACCTGGGGTTTCCCATGTTGGCGTCAGGGGCCCAAGCACTTGGGCCATCTTCTGCTGCTTTTGCAGGCACACGTAGCAGAGAGCTGGGCGGGAAGTGGGGCAGCCAGGGCAGG